AGAATACTACAATCCTGAAAGCAACCCACAACCAAGCCGCTGTACCGCTTACTGTGCAGGTACGTTTTTTTTTATTCTAATATCAAAAAGTTGTTAGTTCATGTTGTTGATTCGATCATGTGGATGACATTCACGCTGGCATGAATTTTCGTCCCATGAATTTTCATATCTTTGTCCTTGTACACAGGGGATAGCGAACCTTGTCCGAACGGTGAAGAATACAACGTGTTTCATCGAGCCTGTGGAAGTGAGTTTCATATTCATAAATATTGTTGTGTTGTTGTTTGTTTGTTTGTTTGTTTGTTTGTTTGTTTGTTTGGAGTTAAACCTTTTGTTCCAACGCAAGAGATTGTTCTCGTGGCTTCCCTGAAGTGTGATGTCAACACTGGGTCAAAGGTATCTGGTTAACGATGTTTGACCCAGTGTTGATGTCACACTTCAGAAAAGCCACTTGACATCTCACTGGGTCGAAAGCTCTGGGTGAGAATGTGTTGGAACAAAAGTTTGAACTTTAAACATGTAACTACATGTTCCAATACAGATGAACTTTTATTATTGTACTGTTGTGTCGTTGTTGTTGTTGTTGTTGTTGTTGTTGTAAGAACACATAGCAATGTAAAATTTAGGCCTAAACGTTGTAAAAGATCCATCACGACTTCTGTAACACTCATGTGTTGTTCGCAGATATCTTCCCGTTGTTCTCAGACAACCCTGTCCTCCATCCTCCTGAGCATGACGTCACCGCCAATCACGTGTCGTTCACGTGTGAGGTTCAGTACGACCCTGATGACGTCACGGCCTGGTTTGACGTCATGTTCCTGTTCGATGACGTGTACTACCCGGATGTGCCTAACGTGACCCTGACAGCTGGGGAAAGGCGAGCAAAGATGGACGCCAGTCATCTGGGTCTGAACCAGCTGTACCCAAACGTACCGGTCTCCTGGCCATCAAAGATGGGGAAGGACGTAAGTTAAACTTGCGAAATGTTGTTTAAAGTTAAAACTTTTTGTTCCAACACAAAGATTTGTTGGACCAGTCACTTTGGTCTTCTTCAATAGACTGACCCAGTGAGTCTTGTCACGTGGTTCCTCAAAAGTGTAGCGTCAACATATACTGGGATAAAGGTGTCTGGTAAACGATGTCAGCCCCCGTCGCGGTTGGGTGCTGGGTGAGGATATGACCTTAAGCCTGGTTCATTTGGACTATCAGCCGCACAGCCGGACTAAATACGCTTTTGGTACCAAACGACAACCATTTCCATAGAAATATTTTACACTGGCAATTCGAATTGGGATGGGATTTGGAGAGTTATAAGTATTACTATTAACTGAAATCGGCCAATGTTTGTTTGTAGAATAACAGTACTATTTTGACAATACCTTTGTGATTTCTAATTTTACGGACAGAAGTCGTTATTTTCCCGAAGGTTTCCTGCCAGGTGAGGTCCTACTGGGAAGGTACCCCGGATGTGAAAAGCGAGTGGCAGCAGAGCAACCCTTACTGGGCAGGCATCGAGGTAACATCTGCATGATTGTTTTCTTGGGGGTCAGGTCACATACGTCGCACGACCGTCGTACTACCGTCGTACGATCGCAAATTGAAGGCATTTTTTATACTCGTGCATGAGTTGTACCATATTCAGCTGCAAGCACTAGTACAGCAGTATAGTAGTGCATTAGTAGTGCTATGTGTTTGACCTTCCCATACTCTTTCTCATAGATGCTGAGTGCCAAGCAGAGAAGGCAGAATGTCAATTTTAAAGTTTTTAGTATGACCCGGCCGGGGTTTGAACTTACCACCTCCCGGTTACAAAACGAGCACTTTTCTCGAATGAGCTATTGCACCGGTCTGTGTGCAATTAGCCTATGTAACCCAGGCTCCGGGGGGCTCCCTACATAGTCCGCCACCCAACTCCCAAGGGGCCGGCTGGATGTTGGGCGGCCGGCAAAAGCGATTTAATCAGGCTAGTGTGCAATGTGGTGACTTTAAATTGGGAACCCAAACTACATACGGCTCTAAACACATCACATTAACTTATTAGACTAGCTAATCCTAATGATCTTAAACATTCTTCTATTGCGTTTCCTTGTTAAACCTGTATGTAGAACTGTATTTAGGACAGTTGCTGTATGTAATCAATGGTAATGTTGTGACTTCAAACTGAGAGCACAGACTACATACAATTCTAAATACACCACATTAACACATCAAACTAGCTAATCCTAATTTTCGTAAACATTCTTCTTTTGCGTCCCCTTGTTAGGCCCCAGACACAGCTGTCGTGTACGAGTCTGATGACCACTACAGGTTGGAGCTGACCAGTACGGTTCCGTTTGTCTGCGAGGGCGGGGCACGAAGGGCGAGACAGTGTTACGTAGACGTCCCCTTGTCATTCGACGCAAACGACGACGACGTCTGCGTCGCTGAAGGCTGTCAAGTGAGGTTTGTCAGTTTGTTTGTTTATTTGCATGTAATCCAAGTAATAAGATAAATACACATTAACGCGACAGAAAGATATGCCGGGGGAAGATGAAAAGCCAATGGATTTCCCCCGATCCCCCGACAACATTAATTTTTGACAAATGATAATAATTGTAATAAATCCAAAAGTAATAATGATGGGTAACAACAAATGATAATTGAATAACAATGATCATAATTTGTGTCGTAAAAAGGTTTAATTTAAGTATAAAAGCACATAAGCGGAATGAGTTTTCAAATTTAAACGCTTACATAGGATAACAACAATTTTATCTTTTAACATAAAATAAATAGGTTCTACGCCGCCAATTGGTCAGATACTGAACACAAAGTGAAAGGAGAAGCCGTCTTAGTCGCCGTAAAAGATGGCCAACAAGATGGAGACAAGTACATGGGCGTCAGCTTTGGACAGATCACCCACGCTCCCGTGGCGTACAACGTTCCACACATCTTTCACGGCTACACACCACAAGTCAACGTCCAGGTACGTAGTTTCAATGTACATCCAATCAGTGTTGACAAAGATTCGACCTGTGGGAATATCGCAGTAACAGTTTTCCCGTATATGTATCCTCTGAACTGGACATTGATTGGCTGCCGATGCCCAATAGCAACGTTCAAAGGGTTTCTACGATACCTCTCAAGATTGGTTGATACTATGCACGTACGGGTAATACAAATTATATATATTTACTCCCACGACCACAAAGCAAACTTTTCAGTATACTGATTGTTGTAGTCATGTTACTGCATTTATTTATTTGATTGCCAAAAATCGGGATTTGATATTGCATGTAAAAATCTCATTGGTAATATTACTAGACTGCAATTATGTTATAATCCGCTTAGAGTCGCCCTTTTTACCTTTTCCTTCAGGTTCGGACGGTAGATGCCCTTGAGGCCACGTGCACGTACGCTGGTGACCCCCACGGCGTTTCTTTTGACGAACTGACTGGGTAGGTTACAGATCTTACCAAGAAAATGTTACACGTAGAGTTTTGATAGATAACGCTTGCTTGGTTGTTGTGTATTTCTTGCCAATTTTTTACAGGTTGGGGTTTTGTTGTTTGTTGTGTTGTTAGGTAAATACAACCGGCATCCATGCAAAAAACTCAATAAATGCAAATGTAATGATGTTGGTTACAGAGCAGGAAAGTGCTATAGTAAATTAATTGTACAGTGGCAATACCTGTACTACTTCTTAAAATCTATGATCAGCAATACACATTTTGTTGTGTCAACTTTTTTTCAGTGCTTGGCGGAAACAGATCCACGTGATCATACCGGGAGAATTCATCATGTACAGAAGTACAAAACCTGGCAGGAATTTCGAAGTAAGTAGAAATGATATAGCATAATTATTATCTTCGCACATTTGCAAATAAAAAATGCCGTCCGTTTGCTGCTGTTAATGGCATTCAGCACCAAGGACAGGCCCGTTCTATTGCTTACGTTCTGTACTAGTCACAATTGCACAACAATCATACAACTTACAAGTATACATACATACTGATTTTAATGTACAGCACATGCATAAGAGGCCTAACCTAACATTTCCAGCAGTTTGCTTCTTCCATAACTTGTCACAAAGTGATTTTCTATCTCTCTTTTGTGTTGTGAAGGTGCACTCCAGGCTGAAGCGTTGTGGCTGGGGAAGATTTACGAACAAAGTCTCCTGTAACTGCGGCGTGGCTGTACGCGAGGATAACGACGTCGTCATTGTTGACTACTGCAACAGGAACTCTCGCATCATCGCCTACAAGACAGCCCTGGGCGGGCCCCTCTCTCCGGGCGTTCTAGTCACTCAGGATAGCAACGGGAAATACATCAAGGTAGGAAAACCTAGCCTGGAGTTCAGCCTTGTTAGCTTTGGTCCGCTCCCCAAGACGGGGTAACGGATCATGGTGAGAGTACCAAAGCTAACAAGGCTGGACTCCATGATTCAAGCTAAGAAAGCACGTTCCAAGATATTTTGCTGTTCGCCTCATGACAACATGAATTGCTCATAAAAGCAAGTCTTTTGGTGACTGCAACGACAGTATAAATATTGTACCAATACTGTACCCAAGGGCGGTAGTATCAGATATACTGTCTGGCGATATTGGATACAGTTCACCCTTGGGTATTGCATACTGTCTGGCAAATGGATATTCCCTGATCCTGGCCAATTTCATTTGGTCCTTGCAGCCACCAAAATATCCGCTTGGAGATAAACAATCTACAATGTGAAAGAATCCTGCTACAGAAAATAACGCTACTGCTATGTTTGTAGATTTCGATGCCCTCCGGTGCGTACGTGGAAGTTGTGGGGTCTGGCTTCGTCACCCTCCGCGTCCACGCGCCGGGGATAGACAAGGGGTACACCGAGGGGCTCTGTGGGTTCTTCGATGGAGATCCGAGAAACGATCGCATGATGCCGGACGGCTCAATCTCTCCACACTACATCTGGCCGAGATGGCACCGAGAGTTCTCCCGTGCTTGGCAGTAAGTATCTCATGTACATGCACTAGCATTGCCGTGTTTAACCTTTAAAAGTATGTGTTGCATGTTTAAAGTTAAAATTTTCGTTCCAAAACAAAAGATTTTCCTGACTCAGAGCTTTCAACCAGTCACTCTGGTCTTCTTCAATAGATTGACCCAGTGAGATTTGTCACGTGGCTCCTCTGAAGTGTGACGTCAACACTGGGGCAAAGGTATCTGGTAAACGGTGTCAGCCCCCGTCACGGTTGAATGATGGGTGCGTGAAGGGTATTAGGCCCTCTCCGGGAGTAGTCTTTTGGAAAAGACTAGAGTGACTTGTAGAAAGCTCTAGGTGAGAACAATCTCATGTATTAGAACGAGAGTTTTAACTTAAAACATGTAACTACCAACACAGATGAACTTTCATGGCAGTATGATATGATCAGCCATGTTAATAATCTTATTGTTTTATCTGTGTCTTTAGAATCCCACGTGGAGAAAGTCTGTTCGATGTTGAGTGTCCAGAAGAGGTCAGTAACCCTCTCTCTGGAGTAGAGTTCTGCAGCTGCGGTCGCATGGCCGAGTGCAGCCCGAATAAAACACGCAAAATAAACCACCTGAACCCAGCCTTGAACATCATCCAACCACTTCAAGACGAAAGGAACAAGGTTCTTCTTTCATTTCGTTCGTTCGGTTAATTAATTGATTATTTTGCTTAATTGATTCACTGATCATTGTACCATTGTGTTGTTTCACTTTTCCCATTACGTCTTCACTGTCATTTATTCTAATTTGACAAACTTGTAATAGTGTTAGAGCATGATGGGGGGGATCAAACGTGTACAAGCCATATGGCTTTTTCTTCACCCCTGCACGTTTACTTTTCCGTTATATTATGTTTTGTAAAATTTCCTTTTATTATGTTACTCTTTCTCACTTGTTCATTTTTATTAGTTTAGTATGGTCAAATAATTAAAATCATTAAAATCAATAAAAATCTAGAACTGCACCCCGCCGCCGGAAGTTATCGAGGAAGACCCAACCCTATACAATGACGATGTTTGTGAGACGAAATATGAGTTCGACTACGCCGAGGACGAAGAACCAGAAATCAACGACGAATGGCCGACCCCAAACGAAGGGATAACAGAGGAGGAAGCTAGGGGGAAGTGCCAGGGAGGGATCCTGAACCTGACCATCGCTGAAGCCTGTCGGGATGTGTACGGTGTGGACATCTTCTCTGGAGTGGACTTCTGTGTAGCAGATGTAAAAGTAAGTGAGACTAAAAACATCAGTATCTCCTCCATTGTTTTAATTATCGGACAAAAAAGGAACAGGAATTGGCGCTTATCAATGCATAGTGAACAGTCCATTATAAAATGGCACTCATTTGCAATCACATTTGGACAAAACCTGTGTATTTTACTACTAGTATATCGACCCATTTCTATGTTTAATCTGTGAATAAAGAAAGATATACATTTTTGCACGTCATCATGGTCTTAGCATAGAGAAAATGTTTGAAATTGTTTGTCTTTGATCTGCTTTTTCAGGTAACGGAGGATTTCCAGTACGTTGACATTATCGTGCAGAAGATTCAGGCAGAATGTGCTGAGAAAGCCTACAACAACGTCAGCCTGTACGAAACCACAGAGAACGGAACTGCCAAGCCACCAGCCTTCATCACTGAGAACCTGTGCCCGCGCCAGTGCAGTAACCAGGGCCGGTGTGTGAACAGTACGTGTGAGTGTGACGACGGTTACACGTCTGCGGACTGCTCCATACAGGTCGGCAGGCCTCCGGTCGCGCTAAGACTACCGGGTAACGGCCTGTGTGACGTCAGAAGCCGGCCATGTTTGAAGACGTCATTCTACGCTGAAGACGTGATGGATTCTGGGAACCTGACCTGTAGGATCACACAAGTTCAGGTTGTTAATTTGAATATTTCAATTTTAGATATTTACCATTTATCTTAGAGTAACACTGTATATTCTTTCCTCTATTGTCAGCTGATTGTTGTTGTCAGCTGAAATCAACACTCGAATTCTCACCATCACATAACAGTGGTTGTACGTATCTAAAAGTGACTTGTCTTATGTTGTAATTGTTGTTTCATCTCCAGTGGGAACATTCGCCTATGTATTGTTCTGTTTGAATGTCATAATAAGTTCAGATTTGCAACATCTTTTGACATTATCCTTTTGCTCATTACAACTGGCTTTATTCTTTGCCCATCAGATAAAGGATGGAGTAAAGACGGAGGCGAATTCCAGCGGTCGATCCGAGGCGACATTCCGCAGTTTTCAGGAGGTGTCGTGCGCCCTGCCCCGGTCCCCTGTACGGGACGGCACACCGGACACCAAGGACGGCGCGGTGGCTCACGGGATGCTGCTGTCCGTTAGTAACGATGGTGACCGGTTCAGTGAGGAGTTGTTCTTCACCGTGTACGACTCCGTCTGTCAGGAGTGTACTCAGGGAGGCAACTGTACATGGAAGGTACGCTTTAAAGTAGGGTTCGAAATACTTTTTTCTGAGGTTGCCCACTGGGCATTGTAAGCCAAAAGCTAGGTTGTCCACATATATTTAGGTTGCCGTTAACATCATCAGCTGTTGTGCGAGAGAAGATATTTAAAAAGATTTATTGTCTTTTGCAAGGTTTTGGTGATTTCGTCTTCCAGGTGTGTACTAGGTATTAACTAAGTTTTAGCTAGCAGGTGATTTTTTTCAAACTTTAAATGTAAGAATCCTGACCTTAGACTGGTAAACTTTAATTGTCACGTTCATGACTATGTGACATTTGATGTTGTCCACAGCCGAATACCTGCATCATTCGAGGCCACTGTTTTAGTAATGAAGACCCGAACCCGAGTAACATTTGTCAGCAATGTGTGCCTGAGCTTTCCAACTCAGAGTGGTCAGATCGACCAGGTATGTGTATTTTTTATGTCCTTTCTTTGTATGATGACAAATTTATTAAACTAGAAATGTAACATTCGCAAAGCAAATGCATAATCTTACCTCCACAGGGTCTAGCCCAGTAAACTACTGCTCTTTTTAATTCTTTCTCAAACACATTGAATTTCATAATACATTATGCTAGTATATGTCATCCACATTGCTTGTTGTTTATTTCTTTAGACAATGGGGCTCCAATCTTTACAACACCCTCCACTATTCAAAAACTTCCCGACGAAAATCTGACACTGACTTTGGCAAGCGAAGATCCCGAAGGAGGAAATGTGACGTGTCATCTGACGTCGTCTGGTGACGACGGCGTCACCGTGCAGCCAAACGGACAACTGGACTGGACAGCAGACGGCGTCAGCTCAACGTCCATCAACGTCACCATTGAAGACGAGTGCGGCGCGTCATCTGAACAAACGTTCACGCTCACAACAATGGCGTGTCCTTGTCAGAACGGAGGGTCATGTGCGCCCGATCCCGACATGCCCCGCGGTCAAGGCTACTACGCATGCGTGTGTCCTGGGTACACGGGGGACGAGTGTGAAACTGAGATAGACGAATGTCAGTCCGACCCGTGTGTTAATGGCGGGACCTGTGTCGACCTTGTGAACGGTTACAACTGTACTTGCACGGAAGAATACACAGGTATTCATTGTTGTTGTTGTTGTTGTTGTTGTTTTTGTCCCTAATTCACCGCTCCTTGCGAGAGCATATGGTCCCATGTGCTTCTCTTTCTCCTTTATCATGTGCTGTTTCTCAACTATATATTGTGCTCTTCTCTTGTTGCTTTTTCCATGGAGGTACTGAAACTTTGAAACTTAATTGCGATACCACTTTGAATTGCCTAAGTATTTAAAATTTTGTCCGATGTGCTCGTTTTATACTACAACTTGTAGGTATATTACAGTTTGTATAATCTATTATACCTCCATGCTTTTTCAATTGGTCGTCTTTCATGTTAGTGGTGTTTTTTTCTCTTTTTTCCCTCTGTTTGCCCTTCTTTTTTTTCTTCTATTTACATACATGTATTTACAAATCATCAGGTACTCACTGTGATGTGGAGGTTGAGGACAAGTGCGCGGCCCTGGACCCATGTTTTCCCGGTGTCTCCTGCGTTAACCTGCAGGACGGAGGCTACTTGTGTGGTCGGTGTCCTTCAGGATACTTCGGAAACGGATTTGAATGCAAAGGTGACGTAGATCAGCTTTCCTCTCTAGTGTTGATGTTTTTCATGCACAGCTAAACACAGATATGACAGGGCCAGTTTGTATAATGGGCTCTGAATATATATATACAGTTCTTTTGTCAAGTACTACAACTTAGATCGAACAAAACGAAATACATAAAGTCATCCTACGTATATTTATGCGGCAAACTACGTACAGAATGTATGTCAGAGTCAACATTAGAGGTTTAACTGTATTCTCTAACATGCAGTTTCTTATAATTAAACATTCTTCAATGCATTACCCCATTTGCACACAGTATGATTAATGTACTTGAATTTATTTATGGCATCTAATGAATTGAAATCAATGGAACAAAAAACAGTACATCGGAAGGTACAGTTTTAGCGGTTAAATGTTCTGACTGGTTGTTGTTGTGATTCACAGATACGAACGAGTGTGAGTCAGATGACCATGGCTGTCAGCATGGCTGTAACAACCTCCCCGGTACATACGAGTGTACCTGTCCTGACGGGTTTGTGTTGATTGGCGATGACTGCATTGGTAAGACCACATCCTCATTCGGGAAACATATTGTTTTTGCTCTGTTTTTTCTTCTTCTTCCGTTCCAAACACTGACCTCTGACCTGGTCAATGACCTGAGCAAGACTGTCTCGCACCATGGTAACTGGTGTTGGATTACATTATGTTGCAATTTTATAGTAGGAGGGATTTAGACTCCTGTCATCATATATGTGAATGTGTTTGAGTAAGCATCAACAGATATAGCAGGCCATATGTGAAGGTAAACATTATGCATTTGCTTTGCAAATGTTACCTTTCTAGTTAATATTGTCATTTCTTGATCATTGTAATGTCCATGCTAGCTAAGATTGTTCTAAGAAGTAATTTATACATCACAGTCTTGCCACAAAATTCTAGTATATCATACTCTGCTTAATGCTTTTTTGTTTTGTTGATTTCTTAACAGAGGTGGACGAGTGTGCGGCAGATATTGACGAGTGTTCTCACGACTGTACCAACACGGACGGGTCTTACACGTGTGGATGTCCGGATGAGTACGAACTCGACTCAGACGAAAAGACCTGCAACGGTAATCATTTTTTTACTGATTCACTATACACTGGAGATAGATGTCACATGGTTTACCTAGATGAAGATGACAGACTAGTCATGGAAACGTTTGCTCAAACAAATGGTTGTGAAAAAAGAACTTTTGCTATTCAAGAATTGTGTTTGTTTTCAGACATAGATGAATGTAGCCAGGATGACCCAGACTGTCACGAGTGTCACAACACCCCGGGGAGCTATGAGTGTTCCTGTTGGGACGGATATCTGGTCAGTGACGATGGAACATCGTGTGAAGGTTAGTGCCTACGAAAGGGATTGATTGCTTGTTTGTTTGTTTGTCTGTTTGTATGCACAAAGAATACAAAATATAAATTACCAATACACGTTCCAGGCTGTAAAATAACCCACCAGGCTTATTTGAGTCCCCCCATCACGAATGAATTTACTTATAATGAAAACACTAGTAAAGAAACAGATAATGTTTGATGACAATATGTAGATATAAATCTGTAACCCTTTCATGACTATTAGAGGGTACCATCACCTTCGGCGCCATTTGAATACGTTACTACGGCACTGATATTGTACTTTACTGAACTCATACCTTTTTGTGTTTTTCTTTTTTTTTATGTACGATCAGATGTGGACGAGTGTGATTTAGAGCTTGATGAGTGTTCTCACGACTGTACCAACTCGGAAGGCTCCTACACTTGTGGATGTCCTGAGGGATACAACCTTACCTCAGATGGAAGAAACTGTACTGGTAATCATTTCAACTGTTTAAAACAATGTAAATGGCCTACATTAAAGCTTGTCCTTCAATCAGTTCAGCTGTATGAATGGTGTGTTCAGTACCAAGGACAGGTCCCTTTAGCTGTGTGAATAGTGCGTTCAGCACCAAGGACAGGTCCCTTAAGCTGTTTGAATGGTGCGTTCAGCACCAAGGACAGGTCCCTTTAGCTGTGTGAATGGTGCGTTCAGCACCAAGGACAGGTCCCTTTAGCTGTGTGAATGGTGCGTTCAGCACCAAGGACAGGTCCCTTTAGCTGTGTGAATGGTGTGTTCAGCACCAAGGACAGCTCCCTTTATCTGTGTGAATAGTGCGTTCAGCACCAAGGACAGGTCCCTTTAGCTGTGTGAATGGTGTGTTCAGCACCAAGGACAGGTGCCTTTAGCTGTGTGAATGGTGTGTTCAGCAACAAGGACAGGTCCCTTTAGCTGTGTGAATGGTGCGTTCAGCACCAAGGATAGGTCTCTTTAGCTGTTTGAATGGTTATATTGGTATAATGGCAATATATTTGCACGTACAATAACCAATGACATCTCTTTATTCTTTAGACATAGATGAATGCGCTCTGGACACCATAGACTGCCACGAATGCCAGAACACCGAGGGAAGTTTTGAGTGTACCTGTATGGAGGGATATGACGTCAGTGGGGATGGGACATCTTGCCAAGGTCAGGAAAAACCATACAAATATGTCAGCAGATATCTTGTAGATAGTCAATAACAGCACAAATATGTTTTGACAAAATGTTGTGAGTGGTAGTGCAGGACTTCATTATCATGTTGAACTCCTTCAAATTCAACAAAAGCATTACTAGTTGTACAGTCTTCGCCGACTCTTTATCTGATGCTGTATATCTTTTTTTTCACTTTTCAACAGATGTGGATGAATGTACTTCGAATCTTCATGACTGTTCTCACGACTGTACCAACACAGACGGGAACTACACATGTGACTGTCCTACAGGTTTTGAACTCAGCTCAGACGAAAGGACCTGCAACGGTAACCATTGGAATAATCAGTTTTCTCTGGTGTGACTGCAAAGACACTGTGGTGTCGTGTGGCGTAAAGGCAGAGTGCTCAGAACCAAGAGGTTCAGGGTTTGAATCCTGTCATGCCAACCGCTCTTGTGCCCTTGGGAAAGGCACTTTCCTCACTTCGCTGATGTGAAATGTATTGTCCTTGCGTCGGTGGCGGCATAAAAAAGGTTGATCTATGTGCCGTCACCATGTCTTGTCTTTGCATGTTGCAATAAAAAGGCCTATAGTTTTCTTGCATATGATGTCTTCATCATTAGATAGTGAAAATAAGCACATGTTCTATTGTGCTGCATCATAGATGTGGACGAGTGTGCCTCTGGGCTTGCTGGGTGTTCTCACGACTGTACCAACACGGACGGGTCTTTCACCTGTGAATGTCCGGATGGGTACGAACTGAGCTCAGACGAGATCACCTGTACAGGTAATGATTTCCATTGTTTGTCACCTTTCTTTGTTTAATTGCTTGATGACCTTGAAGGTTATCTTTTTTAGTTCAACATCTAAACAGAACAACACAATTAATAGAGGTAACGAACTCTTACACACACAAGCTAACTTAATATATACATGTAACGTTACCACTGGAAACAATTAATATTTACATCTAGATTAAATCGTTTGAATTATTTAAAAATTGAAGTATTTAGATTTTGTTATCATTTTGTAAACAGATGTTGACGAGTGCTCTTCAAGTGTCCACGACTGTTCACATGACTGTACCAACACGGAGGGTTCCTACACGTGTGGATGTCCTGACGGGTACACACTTAGCTCGGACGACAAGACGTGCAACGGTAAACATTTTAAACAACCGTTTTGTTACTCCTGCAGTAGTATTGTGGTCAGTCGGCTTTTCGTATTCGCAGCTAAAACACAGGGTTCCCTTTGTTTGATCGGCATGTAATTTTATACGTCTTCTGCAGGAATGCCCGTGACGATGCAGGCATTTTTATTTTTACCGTAGCTGTTTTCGTGGTCAGTGTAATATTTCAGAAGATGGTTTCTCTCTGCACACAGATACTAAACGCTTTCTTATTTTCAAACAGATGTGGACGAGTGCGCTTTGGGGCTGGACGAGTGTTCACACGACTGCACCAACACAGAATTGTCCTACACATGTAGCTGTCCCACAGGATACCAACTCAGCTCGGACGAAAAGACTTGTGAAGGTATAAAATGTATCTATTTTGATTATTCATTTTTTTCCACGGTTACTACAATGGCCGCCTAATACCTAGCCTTTGCGTCGTTTCAGTTGTAGTCGTAAGCACATCTTTTGTATCCTTCGAACATAGATGTTGACGAGTGTTCTACGAGTGCCCACGACTGTTCTCACGACTGTACCAACACGGACGGGTCTTACACCTGCGACTGTCCTACAGGTTATGCACTCAATACAGACGGAAGGACCTGTGATGGTAAGTTGGCTAGTTTTCTTTTTGTTTGTTTCCTTGTTTTCTTCTCAGGTGTGACAGAAATTATCATCGATGGTCATCGATTTTCTTCAGTAGTGCTCGACATACAGTTACAAAATTGTATCTTTTCATTTACAAACAGATGTGGACGAGTGTGGTTCAGATCAGGACGAGTGTTCTCACGACTGTACCAACACGGACGGGTCCTACACGTGTGAATGTCCGGATGGTTACACACTTAGCTCGGACGACAAGACTTGTGAAGGTATCTATTTGGATCATTCCTTTTCAACGAAGACTCCAATTGCTGTTATCTAGAATCTAGTACCTTGCACTAAGCCATTTTATTCAAACTAATAAAATTTGTATCCTTCTTACTCAGATGTTGACGAGTGTTCTACGAGTGCTCACGACTGTTCTCACGACTGTACCAACACGGACGGGTCCTACACGTGCGACTGTCCTACAGGGTATACAATCAATACGGACGGAAGGACCTGTGATGGTAAGTATTCTAATTTTTGTTTATCTATTTTCTTTTCACTGAAATGATTTCCAATACTTGTAGTTCGTCGATTCTCTTTAATAGTGCTCGATATACAGTTACAAAATTGTATCTTCTCATTTACAAACAGATGTGGACGAGTGTGAGTCAGAACAGGACGACTGTTCTCACGACTGTACCAACACGGACGGGTCTTACACGTGTGGATGTCCGGATGGGTACACACTTAGCTCGGACGACAAGACTTGTGAAGGTATCTATTTGGATCATTCCTTTTCAACGATGACTCCAATTGCTAGGATCTAGTACCTTGCACTTAGCCATTGAGGCGTTTTATTCAAGCTGATACTTTTGTATCCCTCTTTCTCAGATGTTGACGAGTGCTCTTCAAGTCTTCACGACTGTTCTCACGACTGTACCAACACGGACGGGTCATACACGTGCGACTGTCCTACAGGTTATGCACTCAATACAGACGGAAGGACCTGTGATGGTAAGTTGGCTAGTTTTCTTTTTGTTTGTTTCCTTGTTTTCTTCTCAGGTGTGACAGAAATTATCATCGATGGTCATCGATTTTCTTCAGTAGTGCTCGACATACAGTTACAAAATTGTATCTTTTCATTTACAAACAGATGTGGACGAGTGCGGTTCAGATCAGGGCGACTGTTCTCACGACTGTACCAACACGGACGGGTCTTACACGTGTGGATGTCCGGATGGGTACACACTTAGCTCGGACGACAAGACTTGTGAAGGTATCTATTTGGATCATTCCTTTTCCATGATGACTAGGATCTAGTACCTTGCACTTAGCCATTGCGACGTTTTATTCAAGCTAATACTTTTGTATCCGTCTTACTCCTCAGATGTTGACGAGTGTTCTACGAGTACCCATGACTGTTCTCACGACTGTACCAACACGGACGGGTCCTACACGTGCGACTGTCCTACGGGGTATACACTCAATACGGACGGAAGGACCTGTGATGGTAGGTTGTTTATCATTTTTGTTTGTTCGTTTTTGTTTGTTTTCTTTTCAGGTGTGACTAAAATAATCATCTATACTTTTAGTTTGTCGATTCTATTAAATAGTGCTAGACATACAGTTACTAAGTTGTATGTTCTTATTTACAAACAGATGTGGACGAGTGTGCGTCAGATCAGGACGACTGTTCTCACGACTGTACCAACACGGACGGGTCTTACACGTGCGACTGTCGTACAGGATATGCACTCAATACAGACGGAAGGACCTGTGATGGCAAGTTGGCTAGTTTTATTTTTGTTTCTTTGTTTGTTTGTTTTCAGGTGTAAGTGAAATGATCATCTATACATGTATTGCTCGATATACTGTTGAAAAGTTGTATCTTGTCATTACGAAGTTGTCTTTTATCATTACAAATAAAATTGTATCTTCTTATTTACAAACAGATGTGGACGAGTGTGAGTCAGATCAGGACGAGTGTTCAGACGACTGTACCAACACGGACGGGTCATACACGTGTGGATGTCCTGAGGCTTACGAACTCGGCTCGGACGGGAGGACATGTAACGGTAATTATTGAAAACAACTTTTTTTTTACTAAATAGGCTTGTTTGAATTCAGTTCCACAACGTACCAAATGAAGATCGCTTTTTGTGCTTTGAGTTGGTTTCTACGAAAAATGTATTTTTTTCTTCTTAAACAGACGTGGACGAATGTTCCAGAGACCTACACGATTGTTCAGATGACTGTACCAACACGGACGGGTCTTACACGTGTGGGTGTCCTACAGGCTACCAACTCGGCTCAGACGAAAGGACCTGTGAAGGTGATTAACTCTTTTTTGTTGCTTTGATACTCAGATTTCTTTGCATCTTCATCTATAGCCGGTATAACTGCCCCTCGCCGTAACAGACCCGCTTCCCAGGCACGCGGTGCGGCGGCAGCTGACTATATTACACCGATCGACTTGTTACACCTGGCCCTTGAACATCTAACTCACTCTAAACATTGTTGAAAGCTATCTAGTAGGGATTCCCCTACTGTACTTGGTGACAGCCAGTTCCACTCTACGATAGTTCTAGGAGAAAAGAGTTTTGACTACTTCTTTGTTTTAGCTGTTATTAGGTAATTAGTAGTTGGTACAGTCGCCAGTTTGTTAGTTTGTGATCATTGATCTGTGACAATTTAACATATATCTCTAACGTACTTAAACAGAGGTGGATGAGTGTGCAGCAGATATTGACGAGTGTTCTCACGACTGTACCAACACGGACGGGTCTTACACGTGTGGATGTCCGGATGGGTACGAACTTGGCTCGGACGAAAAGACCTGCAACGGTAATTATGTCAAATCCTTGAATTTTAGTAAAAGTATAAAGTATTATCTTTTCCATAGCAATATTTATATTACGTATTATGTGTATGCATCCCAGTAAGTAGAAATGATAAGTAACTTAAAGATGAATTATTCAAAACTTTTTTTTCAAACTTTTCAGACATTGACGAGTGTGCCAGCGCCCCCTGTCAGAATGGAGGTGAATGCCAGGATGGAGTTAACCAGTACACTTGTTCGTGTGCCAGTGGGTGGGATGGGACTCACTGCGAAGAAGGTATTCGATCGTCTTTCAGTTGTTACTTCTTTTAACTTTATTTGCCCCATTTCTGCGTATACCATGGAAGACGTAATGTTCCACCTTTTAAGTTTAGCATCGTAACCTCATGTATTATTGTTTCTCCTTCAGATATAGATGAATGCACGCTTGACAGCAATAGCTGCCACGTGTGTGAGAACACCATGGGAAGCTTTGTCTGTTCCTGTAGGGACGGTTACGTGGTCGGTGACGATGGAATGTCATGCATAGGTAATTAGCACACCTACTTAAAACTGTAATCTAGCAAGCCGTATGTTGTATTTTGTAGCAGCCCTAAATGTAAAGGTTTCACCTTTGTAGCTTTACCAATAATAGCTTGGTTTCTTCCTTGGTAAACAGTTTTGCTTCCCTTATCTTCCATACAGACGTGAACGAGTGTGATGTAGAACAGGACGAGTGTTCACACGACTGTACCAACACGGACGGGTCCTACACGTGTGGATGTCCTACCGGGTACATACTCAACTCGGACGAAAGGACCTGTGACGGTGATCAATATGATTATTTGTCTTATTGGCATAAATGGCCATCGGCCGTCTCTGGATAAGAACAGTAACATGCAATCTGTAACTGGTTTAATTGAAATTATAACTTATTCCCTTTATCGTAGGGTTGTCTTTCATGTTACATTCTAATTTATTTGTTCGTTGTCTTTTATTAAGTGTGTAATTATTGTGGGTCAGTCGTTACCAGCTTAGCTCTACCTGTGCTGACCCTTGTAATGATTTGTCTCATTGCCAACTAGAGTTCCCCGATCTCATACCTTCGCCAAATGATGTTAAACTTTATGACTGACAAAGTTTAGATTAGATTATCCCCCCCCTGATTTAAGAAATAGGAACCTAATTTTCATTAATTATATCATTTTATCATAATCTCAGCCAAAAGACAGTCTTATATTAACAAAGAATGCATTCTAGCATTTCCTAATAAATTATGCAAATGAGGTCCTGATTTGAATAAATTATGTTCAATGATGTTCATCTCAATTTAACATTCAAATACCACAAGTATGAAATTCCAGGCAGTTATCATTACATAATTATAAAGTTTTCTCATTAATTATGCAAATTAAGTCATTATTAACATAATCAACATCTTCCTGTATTTCTCTCGTTGTCAATTACCAATGTCACAAGCTTCAATCGTCCTATCATGGAATGCAGCTGATTTATAGAATTTCCCCATAAATTATGCAAATTACATCCTTATTTGCATAATTGTCACATAATTATATTAAGCATCACGTAAGCTACCTACATACCAAAAATCACGACGATCCGTCAACCGGTTCTTGAGTTATCCCCTTTTGAATATTTTCAAGAATTTATTCCTGCAGTTCCAGAGCAAGCGTCACGTCACTTCTTTCCTAGCACAAGAGCTACCTACCATCTAAATTTCATCACCATAGCATGTCTAGATCATGAGATATCAAAACCGGAAGTTCAGCTGCAGTACCATAACAAGCCGCTAGGGGGTCCAAAATCTAATCATTTTGAGGTCTCATCAAGACCTACCCACCTACCAAGTATCAAGACAATCCATAAAGGCCTTCTCAAGTTATCGTGTTTACACACACACACACACACACATACACGAACGCCCCTGAAAACATAACCTTCTTGGCGAAGGTAATAAATACAAATACGTTACATTTAGGTGGCATAATGCGTATACTATACAGATGTTAAGCTCATAAATACAAATTACCAAAGCTTAAAAAAACTGTGGTAAAGGTTGAAGCGCGGATGTTGTGATATAACAGAGATACTTGAATATTACCACATTATTATCATAGTATAAACCTGCAATAACTCTCTTACAATGACAAAATAAATGCATGCATCAACCCGACTTTGGTCATTTATGACGTCTGTAGAACTGATGAAGAAAGGATGTGAGCTGTCCATCGACCAAATCGGCGGAGTGAAACAAGTCTTCACGTCGGCCCTGTCAGACACACAGTCGTCTGAGTTCAGGAGCTTTTCATCAAGAATGGAGTTTGCGGTAAGGAGGACAATCATATTTATCTGATATTGCTACCTGTATATCTGTTACATCTATTGTCATCTGAAATCAATACTAAAATTCTTGCTATCACATATTTATACTTACCTAAAACTAAATGATTTCGCCACTGATTAAACTGTATACAGATAACGTAATGTTAATTGTCTAATTCTGTATATCAGACGTTTCCCCTTTCATAATTTTGTCTCATGTTGTAATTATGTCCAGTGGTCACCGCTATATATTGTTCTGTTTGAATGTTGAAATTACACAAATAATTCGGGTACAGTTAGTGTGAAACATGTACGACAATAATAACATACAATGTGTAAACGCCATCTGAGTATATCACTTACTTTTCTTTATACTTACAGAACATTGGTTGCCATTAGGTTTTGTTTTTCCAAAAGCTGCATGCATTCCTTTTTACTATGCAAATGAAGAAAATTTATGATTTTTTCTATTTCAGTTGGACGAAAGTTTCATGTCCAGCAGTATCAGCCCGATGTACCAGGGGTGTCAGGTCATCAGCTGCCGGGCCGGGAGTATCATAGTCAACTTCGAGGTTTACCTGTTACAAGACTCCGCCACTGTGGAGAACGTCACGAACGCCTTCCTGGAGGTTCTGAACGGCAGCACATTCGGCTCCTCTCAAATCACCATCGTGCCGTCCACGTGGAGAGTGTACGAGATCGGTATGTATGAAATAACGTGTGTGATTCTTTTGAACGCGGTACCCAACTGAGAGTAAAGGTCCTATTACACATTCACGAATTTGGCTTCCCAAACACTAGATGGACACCCCACAGCGACAGTTAGGAGTAGGTTGGCACAAACTCGGCTGGCGTTCAGCGAATTCGGTAGCCGAATGTTTCAAAATGTGTAAAATATTTGGAGTCAGTCGGAAGGTTAGAGTATGGTCGGCTGGTGTTCGGCAGTAGGTCAGCAGAACAGTTACACCAACCAACCATTCCAGTCAGCAGTGTTCGGGCGTGTTCATGAGTCAAAGTTGACTCAAATTTAACTAAAATTCGAGTGCTCCGAGATCCTGATGTTCGGTAGCAAATTCGGGGGAAGGTGGTGAATGCATACATGTTGCCGCCGTCTTTTCTAAGACAGTTGTAAGTGTAAGAATAGATGTAGCATATAATACATAGGTTGTCTCGTTACATGAGGAATATGAATGTTTTCTTTGCCATCTCCCCAGCTGAAGCGGACTCCAGCCCTCCCTGGTACACGGTGCCGCTGTACGTAGCGCTGGTAGTCGTGGGGTGTGCTGTAGTTGTGACGGCCGCGGTGGTGGCCACGGTCTACTGGTGCGGCAAACACGACCGGCACCGCCGCAAACAACGAGCCGTGGAGGCCGCTCCTCACGCCGACAGCCCCCCGCCGCCGTACGGTGATCACGAGAGGAAGACAGCATGGAACGTTGACGCATAATCTCCAAGCAGATTTTTTAAAATCTTTTTGTGACTCTTTTTGCAAAGGCAGATACAAATCGGACAGACTGTACCCATTGGCAAGAGAGTTGCCATTTTGCCACCCAAGAAATCCAGGAATTAGACATATATAATATAATTTTTGTTTAAGGTTCATACTTCTGCTCCAACACAAGGGATTGCTCTCACCTAGAGCTTTCGGCCAGTAACTCTGGTATTCTTCTTCAGAAGTTCAAACTACGATAACATCGAGTTCATTCCGTTCATTTCTACGAGATGCGGTATATAAGATAGATCACGGCCCATCGCCTGTTTATGATATCACATTAATAGAGTTATGAATTGCTGTGCAGTAATTTTGATTTTGAATTAATGGCAACTTTCTTATTATAAGACTGTCTATTTGTTCGTTTAATTTGCTGTGTTCATTTTGGCGTGGATATGGTTTTTTCATTAGTTTAACTTTGATGATAACAATTTAATTTGGAACAAGGCTTGTGGCTATGGTAAAATGTAACATAGCAGCTGCATCAGCTGTTATTTTTTATGCTGTTGACTGAATATCGTGAAAACATAAAGCTACGAATCACCTAATATAATGATTATTTGCCTTTGCTACGATCACACTTTTTCAAAGTGTACCTCATTTGAATGTGTATATGTCGTTTTCTTTGAAGATTAATAAAGCATGAAATGCCCCATTTGTATTATGTAGTATTTTGTATCTCTTCTACGCTTTATACGTCAGTTTATTAAACAGATATGAAGGAATCCAATTATTGATAAACTACACTAATTACAGTCAAATCACACATATCACATCATCTTTCATAAAATACAATAACGTAAAATGTATAACATTAGAAAGTTCTGTAAAAGCAATGCTTCAGTCTAGCTGCACATAGAAGGTACATAGTGTCCTTTCAGTGACATATTTCTGAAAATAAATCAATTGAAGAAGGCACAGAAATTTGTGACCCAACTTTGCTTTAACTTGTAACAAAAAGAAAAATTCGCAATACCTAAATGTAAACTGTTGTGTATATCATACACCGATATACAGATAAAATGTAACAGATTTACATATTAGTATATATATACATTGTAGATACTTAAACAGAACAATATGTCCTAAGTTGTATATTTCATAGATGTTACCTTTCTTGTAGTAAACTTTAAAACATTAAACTCGTTTACGGTAAAAATGCGCCAAACAGTTGAGAATAATATACACGTTTTCTAAGAAAGTCAGACTTTGGAAAGTATGTTTGAAGTTGGAATTCTGGAAGTAAGGCACAACATGATTCACTCTTTCTTATTCCTTTTAGTCGGAGAGTAATAAAAACTACATTTTCATGAAAACAAAGGAACTACATTTCATATTTTACGACTTCTGTATGATGTACTTGTTATATAAGTCCTCATGCATGTATCTAATGCAGACATTTCGCATATACAAGAAGCACAATAATATAAGCACAATAATATATAAATATATATTCAAAACGATATATAACACAGTAATCAAAAAAACATACCAGTCTTTTACCCTGTTGATAGCATCAATATTATATTCCTATTCTGTTATGCTTCAGTTTACTAACATTCTTGATATAAAACGTTAACATGATCTGACTTCTTCATACATCTATGATCTTTGGCCAAACGTGTATTTTAACCACCGCACCCTCCACAACCACCACCACAACCCCCACATCCGCCACAACCCCCACACCCCCCGCAGCCCCCGCACCCTCCGCACCCACCACATCCCCCACACCCCCCAGACGCGCCAGTAACCGGGGAGTAATAGGCGATCCCGTTCAGGTAATACCCTGCCCCGACTATCATCATCAGGGAGGACGTATCCATGGATTTCACAGTCTTGTTGCCTCGCGTGGCGGCTGCTGTAGCTGTAGCTGCAGCGCCATCTTGCGGTCGAGGCTGTAACAGCACCCACATGACGGCGACGGAGAAGGCCAGCGCCACGCCCTCGGGTACGTCTGTCACGTTGGGCGGGATCGTCACCTCGCCGGTCCGTAAGTCCACGGTCAGGTTCCGGAGCCTGATGGTGAAGTTGTTGCCTGGAGTGGCCTCGGCTCTCTCCGTGGTGCCAGTCTGCAAGTTGTAGAAGCTAGTTTTGGACACAGAAATAGAATGTAACATTGGCCTGTAACAAGCCCCCTTGGAAAACAGCCATTGTAAGCTGAATAGGGTTACCCAGACACATTGAGATTAATAAATAAGATAAATGAATAAATAAATAAATAGGAAACGTCAGAAAATGTTAAGTCTAATCTCTACATTTTTACGATTCAGACGTACTTGATAGTATTAAGCTTGAAAATATTTTCCAACTCAAGAGAAATTGTTCTCACCTAGATTTCGAGTAGTAGAGTAGTAGTACGAGTAGTAGTAGTAGTAGTAGTAGTAGTAATAGTAGTAGTAGTAGTAGTAGTAGTAGTAGTAGTAGCAGCAGTAATAGTAGTAGTAGTAGTAGTAGTAGCAGTAGCAGTAGTAGTGGTAGTAGTAGCCCTGACCTGATGGACAGGTTGCCAGGCCTGCCCCGTACCCCCGGGGTCCCCTTGACGCCCTTGACGGCCGGGGTGTCCTGCGTGCCGCTGACGCCCTTCACGCCAGGTGTGCCGGGGACGCCCTGACGGAAGTTGTCCCACCTGCCGACCACCACGCCCCAGTCCTGACTGTTCCGGATTAACATGGCACAGTCGTTAGGTCCCATGGTCGGCACAACGGCTGGGGCTTGCAGCTGAGGGAGAGAGAATTAAGTTCCTAAGTTCTCCGTGTTTACAGATAAAATGAAAACTAACTCATTATAGAAAAAGTGTGATCATTCGTCTTCCACTGTCTCGGAAAAAGAAGTCGAACCCATACGTTAGTATAATGTTTAGTAGTTAGAGTAGTCATACATAGTATTTTGTTATCCATTCATTGTCTATCGTTTATTTTCATGTTACATGTAGATGTACTTGCAATTAGCCTACAGGCAAGACGTTGCGATAAACTTTCTCTATTATAAAACCATTTCTAAAGGAAGGGTATAATAGAGCAACGTGTAAAACCGAAGACGTAAACAACAGTTGTTGAAGAGACACTGCACCTGCCTAGGTGTCGGTACCGTGTCATTCCGGATGAGGTAAGCCTCTGCCGTCAGCTGGTCTCCTGGGGTCATGACCTGCACCACGGAGGTTTTCAGCTCGGCGGAGTGCACCACTCTGCACCTGAAGGCCAGGCCTCCTGTCAGGTCTAAAATACTGCAAACAAATTTACATGGAGAAACACAAAAAGTGCTTTAGACTGAAAAAAAAAACATACCAGCATTTTAACTCTTTTTAAAACGTACCGATGATCAGGGCCGTATACACTCAACTTCAGACTTTATACTTCTTCTATTTACCTTAAACTTCAGACAAGCCACGTGACAAGACTCACTGGGTCAGTCTCTTGAAGAAGAGATTGACTGGTCGAAAGCTTATCATGAGAACAATAATTCTTTGTGTTGGAACAAAAGTTGATTCAAAATTCTCTTTAATACCTAGAGTCTCTGGTCTTCTTCAGCAGACTGATCCAGTGAGACTTCACATGTGAAAGGACGTCTTTGTGTTGGCTTTAACTTCAAATTTAAACAAATATCCTTACTTGTGAGTGGCGATCTCAAACGTATACGCCGCTCCGTCCGACCCCAGCACCATGGGCGGGAGGGTGGACAGATACTCCCCGGACAGCGGAGACTTGGCCCAGGTGCCGAAGTTCGTGGTCAGCCGGACCTCCCCCCACTCCCTCGGCACGATCCCGACCGTCAGGGTGATGGGCAGGTCCGTTCTCTCGCTCCGCACCACAATTTGGCTGAAAAATATCAAATATCAAATTGAATGTTGACGAAGCAATAGGGCATATACGTGCACGTACGTCACATAATGAAGAGGCCTATTCTTGCTACTACTAGTATTTGACAAAGAACAGGGAGAGCTGTTTTCACGATTTGACATATATAATATTATAAAAAAATACGTATATACACATTGAAGTCAATTGGGTATTGTCAATTGTGGAGTTGCCTGCAAAGCATTTCAAAGTGATGATTTACAATGAAGTACATGACTTAAGGTTTTAATTTCAATTTTTAAGAATACAAAGTGAAACGTTCTTCATCAATTGTGGCAAAAATAGCAGGCGACAGTTACACACTCGGTGAACAGAATAGTCCATGGGCCAGAAAACAAAATTTTACATATTACTAGTACCACCTGGCAAATTATGGTTTTTGACAAGTAGGGTGTAGAAGCATAAGAGATATACAACTTACGTTCCCGATTCGGGAACTCCGTGGACTGCTTGTCGCAGGTCGAAGTCGTAGCTAGACAGCGGGTCCCCGGCAAGGCACTGGCACGTGGTGGCGTTACTTAGCCTGGCGCACAGGTGGGTCGAGTCGCCCCAGTCAAACGTCTTCAGCCCGCTCGTTGACTGGGAGGACCAGGTTAGGCAGCCGTCTGAGGGAGTCTGTTTCAAGCTTACACTGCCTAAAGAATGGACGGGTAGTATATACGATTCTTATTCGTTATAGCGAAACATGCTAACAAGTTTAATGATGATATCTGTAATTGTACCTATGGGGTACATGTCCACAAAACACAAGAGATATTGAACCAAACATTCTCTGAAATGTATGTGTGGATACTTTTTTGAACATTGTAGCATTTCAGTCATCATTTTTAGATTCCTATTTTGTTTCATTTTTCAAACGCATGCCATTAGAAAACGATTAGTTTTGTTATAGGAGTTGCAGGCTTATTTTTATATAAGAAAAGACAAAAAAGCTCTTACTATCTGTGAATCCAGGACCACATTTAAAGAAACATAAACAGAAATATGCTGGTGTTATTCAATATCATATCAATACAGAATTAACAACAGATCTCCATTTCATTCCTTGCTTGGTCGACAAGCTAGTGGTCATGTTGTTGTTGCGGTACTAGGCTGCTTGAGTGTAGGGGTGTTTCTTTTTTATTGGGGGGGGACCTTGTGGACTTTCATAAGTATTTAAAAATGACTTAAATGAAGTGATAACACAAGGAAAACATAAAACTTTTAAAACGTGTCCAACAATAAGCAGGACTTTTTGGTGGGAGGGGGGGGGCACCAGACCCTCTGCTGTGGTCATGGTTTTTTTACTCAATGCGCGGCTTGCAATGCAGAAAGTTGTCCTTCTGTACCTTACACCTACGCTGTGGCAAAAATACTGGTGAGAACCCTGCTTCATACATACCTTTCTTGCTCCTGATTTTCAGGCACAGAGGTCTCGATACGTCCGAAGGTATGTTCTGAACTTCGGCTCTCTCCACGATGATGTTGCACCGCTTCACGGTGATGGCGAACACCTCTTCCCGGGTCATCATGTGGACATCGCCCGGCGGTGGGCCCCGGAACATCGCGCCACTCAACGGGAAATCTTTGCCAAATGTCGTCTTCCACAGGGTCCTGATGAGAGATGAAAAAATGCATTGTGCTGACCTACCCCTAACCATGGTTACGGGGCATTTGGCTAGTGTCAAATTCGTGGATGTGAAGTATTAGAAGTCTTATGAACTAAAACAAAATTGTCTTACATGTGAAACAGACTTGAACTGAAATTTCCAACAAAAAATGGACTTTTGTTAAAAATTACTGTTCAACCCTGTCTCGGAATCATTCTACCAAGTCAGAGATGAACTTTCAAGCGAACTCCAATATCTATTCGCTGCTGTATGCAGACAGCTAGACACTGCCTTACGCTATTTACCATCTGGTGAGTGGGTTCGTTCTCACCTAGTCTGATCATCAGACGTGTTGAGTTTGGAGCCGGGACTGCGGTCGTTCACGGAGTCGTCGTGGTTAAAAGTCTTTCCGAGGATAGCTTCTGTGTCAGACTTGTATATGACTGGGTTGATCTACATACAATAGGGAAATATTTTTATGAAGAACAGCGTAGCTAGAACAAGCTGCTAGGAGCTAGGCCAAACTCATGTCACTTCTTCTCGAACACAAAAGCTGACATCCAGTATGTCTAGATCACGGATTCACCCGCTTCATTTTTTTCTGATTTGCAAAAATAAGATTCAGGTCAGGTTCTGAATCAACTCAAAAGCCTAGACTAATAGTTTGGCCCCAGCAGTTGAAGAAAGCTCCTTGTCTTCGTAGATGTTACCGTTTCGATCTATCATAGTCGTCTGACAAAATTTTAAATTCAATGTTTGAATGTTAAAACAGCCTTGAAGGTTGACATAGCTCCTGCCATAGCATTTGGGGCTATCATTGGATGCAGAGGCATTTTTTTTCGCTTCTTATTTTTTCTGAAAAAAAAATCCGAGAACCTGAACAAATCAAATTGGTGTGGCCTGAACCTCAGAATACAGATCAGATAGAATCGAACCTGATGTGCATGCCAGATGAGATCCATGTCGTAACAGGGAACCAGGAACTTGCCGGGATTCGTCTTCTTCAAATGCAGCAGCATCTTATACCTCAACACCGCCTCCTGGAGGAACTTGTCGTCCCTGCAAGACGAGACGTAGGCGGTCAGACCAATACGACTCAGCCGTAAGCCCCTGTCTCAATAGCCGAATGTGGCCCCGAACCCTGCCGACGTGCCGCAAAGAGTTGATCGGGAGAAAGGTCGGTTGTGGTTAATTGGCTGGTGTTCGTCGAGGTCGGCTACTGTTCGGTTGCGCCAGCCGAAATCTTTCAAAATGTTTAAGATATTTAGGTATAAAGATTTTTGAGAGGTTCGGTCATGGTTGGCTCGTGGTTGGGAGCAGACCAGCAGTGGTGGGACAGGCGTGAGTGGCAGTCAAATGTGACTCAAATTTAACTCAAATTCGATTCGATTTGTATAGAAAGATATGTGTGGCCTAAATCTGGTCAGTCTTCTCAACCTTGGTTGGTTGATTCGTGGTCGGGGGAAAGTTTTGAATGTTTGACAGGGGATTTAAGTCACGTGTATGCTGATCTGTAAGAATACTTCTGCCAGAGTGTTAGGCAACTTGCACATTAAGTATCCAGTGTTACCTGAAGTGAGGAAGAGACACCTGGTAGTAGAACATCCTCTGACGGGAGATCGCAGACCGGAGGTCGTAAGAAATCTGCGAGTCTGGAGAAGCGACCACGACTTTGCTGGGCGGGGGGCTGTTCAAGTCCACCTGTTCATGGTAAAACAACAGATTTTGAACAATAACTAATACTTCACAGTAGTTATTGATGAGGGTAAGATCTAGTTCAATGTCATGAAGTCTATAAAATGTTTGATAATGACTAGATATTGTCTATGCATTATACCAACTTTACAATCGTTAGCATAAGATGTACAAAATGTAGTTCAATGCCATAATGAAGTACATGAGATTTGGAATAATGATTATACATTGTGCATAATATCAACTACATATACGTATACACAGTAATTCTTTATACTGGAGCGTAAGATGTAGTCTTTCTGTCGTTATGAATTCACAAAACCAGCCTGCAACGAAAATCGAGAGGATAATGTGCATCTGAAAGGATTTAATTTAATGAAATTTAATTTTCTTAGCACGAGTTCGTTTATTACGCGAAGTAACTGACGTTGAAAGGTTCAGACGGATACTCCTTCTCCCACTGAGTCTGCGCAGCCTGAAGGCCTTTCCGGAACGAAGGAATGTTGTCAGGAATGTGGTGGTCTATCAGCTGTAAGGGAACAATAACAAATAAAATTTTGTTTTCATGACGTACAAACTAAGATATGATTCAGTTTTCACAAATATTACCTCAACCATAGGGTTTTGTGTTCAGGTATCTGCTGATTTTTAATTGGCTATAACTCAGGTGCATATGTCTTTATGATATTTAGTAGGTAAGTTAGAGTTGGGACAATGAAAGTCAAGTCAATTTTAGCGGTACTCTAGCGGTTTCTTAAGGTACCACATTGAGATACATTGGTATGGTATCTCGTGTTGTGGACATGCTATGGTCTTTATTTTATTTATTTTATTTCTATTTTATTGAAATTGCAACAGTGCAATACACGCGGAACAGAGGCAGCTGTTGCTGGTGTTGTGTCCCGCACATAGAAACGAATACTGGACAGACAATAATCATTTTCACTTGAGTCTAGTGGGGAAAGTCGTGTAAAGTGCCTTTCCCAAGGGCACAAGATCGGTGGCATGTCAGGACTCGAACCCGGGACCTCTTGATTCCGAGTCGCGCACGCTGCCTTTGCGCCACACGACCCCACATGATTTTTAGTAGGACATTTTTAGGCAATAGGTAACTGGCGTGAATTTTTAGCGGAATAGCTGTTTTTTTAGCTGCTGTAGTAATTATTATGACGGAATTTGACTAGACGGGGTAACTTTTGATGTTGTGGATTTTTGCCATGATACAAAGCAGGTTGGTGTCAACAGTAGACGAGCCAGAGTCAGTGTTTTGTTTTGTTTGTTTGTTTGTTTGTTTATTTCGATCCCCATTAGTGCTTAAAAGCACAGTACTATTCTTCCTGGGGTCAATAAAATAAAACATAGATAACAAAACTTTGTACATAATGATGATTACAAAGTAATAAAGTAAGTTCAAAATCAATAGGAAGTGTTTGTTTCTATTGCTGTTGTTGTTGTTTACCTTGCCGACGATGTTGTTGCAGTCGGCCTCGTAGTGCAGCGGTGCCAGCATGTGGACGTGCCAGACCCAGTGGATGTCCAGGGGCGGGGACAGCCCCTTGGTCCCGAGCCGCGCCACCAGCGGCAGCCACAGTTTCTCGTACCTCCTCAGGGCGTTGTCGACATGGGGTCCCTCGTACAGCATCGGGTGTCTGTCAACCTATACAAGTATCCATTGAAACAAATATACCAGATTGTACCTTTTTCTTCAAAAGATACAGTTTTTTTTTGGTACCTGCACAAACTGTACAAAAAAGACACCCCGATAAAAACGCATAAAACACGCAATAAATAAGCCAAACCCAAAACCTCTGCTTGGAAAGTTACTCACTAGCATTACGAATCCGGCTTAAATCTTCTTTAATTGTACTTATCATTTATTGTAGTGTTATATGTTTTGTAATGTATGGTGCACGCAGCATAAGCAAAATCTGGTGTCTGTTATTAAATCTCCAGATCTTATACGGTGGCAAGGCAGTATACATTGGCCATAGGAGTGACCATTGGCCCCTGTGCATTCCGTTGTCATGAATCCTTATAAAAAATCATGGATAGGATCTTAAGGCACGTACTTGGTCAGGATTCGCGAATCCTTCTCTCCGCGGCAAAAACTCCCTCGGCAGCAAATTGTCCCTCGCGGCGGCATATTACTCGCGTCGCTCACAGAAAAAAATAACGCCGACGCCCAACAAGACTGCGAAGGAGGCTAATCACGTAATTTTTAATGATAAATATGTCACATATTAGTGTATGAATGTTATCAGTTACCTCTTTCAGGAATCCCAGCTGATATTTGGCCGCCTTGATCAGGTCTGTACCGATGCGGATCTTCTTGGGTTTAAACTTTTCTGCCATGTTTTCCCGGCCTGTAACGACAGAGTGTGAAGGTATCTAATTTTCATCGACCGTCGGAAACGACATTAACTAGTACTTAATCTCCAAGCAGATTTCATCTGGGGGCAAAACACCCCATTTGATAGAGAGGCCGATGGTAACTGGTGGCCAATTTGATAGTGCCTTGCGCCCGATGAAACCTGCTTGAAGATAAAGTACTGATAACGACGTCCAAACGGTCAGTACGGCTTGAGTACACTACCTAGAGAGGGTCCCAAGGAGGTAATCTACGTGTTGGTCAAGCTTAAAGTAAGCCTCATAAGACACTGAGAGGCCGTCAGCACTTAGAAAGAAAAACGGACTGTAGACTAGTGAAGAGGACGGAATTTGGAAAATGAACTATATGTGCCTATAATATTAATGTGACTGCGTTGTATATGTACATGTTTGTAATGTTTTTGTATATTGTTGGGTTCAATTTGTATTTTTATGAAATTGTATGTTTTAATGTGTGCCCAGGGATACCTGAAAAGCAGATCAATGGATCTGAGGTATTCCCTGGTGAAATAAATAAACTTGAAACTTGAAACTTAAGGCCAGAGCTAGACACCAGAGCAAGAAAACTGCCAAGGGAGAAGACAGCACCTCGAAATAAATTGGACCTTTCTTTTACATCTATATAAATTGTATATGACTGTTAACATGTGACCTGTTCTCTAGGCCCAGTGAGGGAAAATTGCACAACTAAGGTCGTCGTATATTCAAAACGTGCACAGCATTCGTTATAATTAATCCGCTAACAGTTAGTCCCTGATGTGCTGTGTGACCGCACGTTTTGCTAAGTCGGGTTATCCACAAATTTTGTCCTTGAACAGCTATGAAACCATCCAGCTAACAGCGTACATAACAAACGGTTTCTTAAATGGTGCCAACAGCATTAGAATATAGAGAAAACACTTTATACTCACCGGTGTTCGGTTCTTGTTCAGGTAAATTCACGTCTCCAGTATCTATTGTTACTGTGCTATTTTGTCCTTGAATAGCAACGAAATCATCCAGCTAACAGCCTTCAAACCTGACAAATGACTTCGTACATGGTGGCAAAAGCATTTATATGTAGAGAGAAAACACTCTATACTCACCTGTGTTAGGTGCTTGTTCTGGTAAATTAATGCAGAGGTCCCCCAGGCGACTTTTAAAACAGTCAGGTACTAAAAGAACGGTTTCTACTGTCGTATGTACTTACCAACACGTCCTGTATGAGAAAATGAAGGCATTAGCAGAAAGCATTAATAATTAAAAAATGCCCGACCCTAATGCATAATTTAGTAGCTGGCTCATAACCTTCTGATAGTATCATTTGTGCTTCCTTCGTGGAATGGTTGTTGCTGTCTTTGTTGTTGTGGTGTAGGCGGCATCTCCTGTTACCGAGTTATTGTGTTTACTTGTACATGCATAGCTTTGGTGTCAACGGCCTTTACTACATAAGAGTAACACAATACTGGCCTCCGTAGCATGCCAAAAACTGTGGGGTTTGGGGGTCTTCAGAGTCTTTGGGAGCTTTTATGTGCTATTTTCTGATTGCATGTAGACAACATAGCCGACCTGGTTGAATTACCCCCGTTTTTTAGAACTGGGCTAATCAGAAAACAGCCGAAGACCACCAAACCCCCAGTTCTATAAGCCTGCTACGGAGGCTAACACAATACAGCGTTACGTAGTGTGAACATAAGTACCGTACTTGCGTGTGATTGTGGCATTAGCTCAGCGGTGAAAAGTCAAACTAATCTGCTTTCAACGGAAGACTTAATTCCATTATCCTTCCATAGTCTGGACAAAACAAGACCCGGCGTTTTTGCTGAGAAGACATTAGACTGCCCTTACAGTGCATTAGAATCTACGGTCTCAGTAATAGAAAGGGTGTGGTAGCAGCCCTAATGAAATGAACAATGTAGTCATACGACGCCTTTTTCGTCACTACGAGATATGTCACTACGAGGTAAACTAGTATATGTATACACTACGAAATCTCGTACATGTATACACTACGGCATACTAGACCAGTACATGTATACACTACGAAATACTAGACCAGTACATGTATACACTACGAAATACTAGTACATTTATTCACTACGAAATACTAGTACATTTATACACTACGAAATACGGCCCGAAATACTAGTACGTGTATGCACTATGAAATACTTAAGTACATGTATACACTACGAAATGCTAAGTACAGTCACATACACACTACGAAATACTAGTACATGTATACACTACGAAATCTAGTACATGTATACACTACGAAATCTAGTACATGTATATACTACGAAATACTAGTACATGTATGATACACTACGAAATCTAGTACATGTATAATACACTATATGTATACACTGAAATACCAGTACATGTATACACTACGCTGAATACTAGTTAATGTACATGTATTAACACTGGGTCTCTTATCCAACTTACTGTATTGCGAGCCCGGAAATACAATTATTGAGCTTTGAACAACATCAAAACAAACCACTACTAACTCACAACGCCTGGCTAGTAACAAAGCTGTAAGTTGTATCCATAACGGTGCTTTATCCCGAATCATGCTCGGCTGGCATGGTTCTGGATAGCCCACACCTTAATCCAGAACCGTGCCTGGGGCCCGGGGGAAAATCTACGTTCTTGGATATCTAGAACCGTGCCTTGTCCTAACCATAACCCATTTTGGCATAGAACGTAGGTAGGCACAGTTGACTGCATGGGTAGAACAAAAACCTTTGCGAACACAAACATCAAAATCAATGTTTTAACATCGTCAATCGTCTTTAATTCTTGAATATTTCATTCCCTCAATCCAGGTGCAATTTACTTACATAAACGTGCAATGTGTGTATGGCTCTAGTTTTATCTTAGGGGATTTCAATGAAAGATCGAGAAACCGTAATATTGGTACATGCCAGCGAGTGGAAACTGGAAAGAAGTCTGTCACAATTGTTAAACACCAAGAAGGTCAACCTCCTTTTAAACACATTTTAACACACTTCTGCTTATAGATTAATCTTCCATAAACTATAGGACACTGGTAAATAAGTGGTATAGTATAAAAACACACCTGCGTATCTGTCTTCTGTTGTCGTCACCTTGACGCTTTCCTACTTTCTTTACTTCCGGGTTAATTTGCATACGGAGGTCATGACCTCGCGTTGTGTGACCTCATCAGGTCTGATATGTTGTGTTCAATCATTTCTGTATGATAGCCTCCACCAGGCTTTCCTACGGGGATATGGGTGGTAAATTCGGCAAAAAAAGAGGCTAGAAATAATTGGCCGGGAGAGTCAGTCCGCGGGAAGGTTAATTTTTCCCTTGAACTGTGCGGGAAAATGAACTCTACGGTGGCAAAACTACTCTCCTGGCCAATTATTCTCCCTATTGGCAAAATTGTAGTGCTTTTAAACCTGCGTCACGTGTTAGTTTGGTGGCTGGCGTGCGAAAGATTAAAGATGACTGCATCACTGTTTGAGGGTAAACTAGACCTTAGAATATTGTTAGAATGCTGCAACCACTGACTAATACTCTACATGTCTTTGAGCTGTTTTTTTTTCACAAAAAGCAGTAGGTGTCAATGGGTGAAGTATGCCATCTCCAATCGCCCTGTTATAGTGTTGCAATTTACCAGTTTCAAATGTAGTCGTCAATTGAGCGAATTCAGCATCACTTCAATGGTGGAACATCTCACTGACAGGCAGTATTACTGTAACAGCAAATAGTTCCCTCGATTAAAATATCTCAGTAGGTTAGCTAAAATTATTAGTAATTACAGGAATTCACCTGAAATGACATCTGGAAATCGCCATATAACTATACAATCAACACTAGGTATTGTTGAAAAGTCGTAGTGTCAAATCATGCCTTGAAAATAAAGAATTATTGCAAACTTTAATCACAAATCTTTTATTAGAAAATTGCACAAATCAACATTCAATCGAGAAGTGAAGTTAGAGAGAAGATTCAGCCAACAGACACATGAGTTTTGTTACTTCTTAAGTACGGCTTCAAACACATCAAATCATTCTATCTTCAAATTCACTTACTAATAGGAACATAATGGCACTTTGGCAAAAAATAGACATGAATAGCAGCACATTCTGGAATGTGTCGTAGACACCAAGATAGCAAACTATCAGTCCAAATGAATACACTTGAGGTTGAACTTGTAAAATAAGAGTTTATATTTGATGGATTCGGGCTGGTCGCGTAACGCTCTGTACTGCCGCTCGAAGTCGGAATGTTTCCAGGGAAGACGAAACTTGCTGGCGTGACTGATGGAAACGTGGGAACAGGACGCCACTCGCAGCTTCCCAAGTCCATCGAGAAAGAACTCTGGAAAACAAAATAGCCGAATCAGGAAGACATAACCGCACTCCTCTAGAACAAAGAATCTGCCAATTTGGTAGTGTAGGTAAAGTAGAAGACCAGGTACATTTACTGTTGATTGTCCTTTGTATGATGATAGCGAAAGAAGCATACAGCTAAGTACATGTATACAATCACCAAAAAGGGAGAGAAAGTAAAATTATTGGTGTATACGTTTATATAACGTTACATCTATTGTATTTACAATTGTTAACATGTGACCTGAGGTGAGAACATTTTTTGGGGTTAGCTAGTTTCTACTTTGAACAAGCAGTAGTTGTATATGCTTACAGATGTACTTTTATTTTACCTCACTATTTCACAGCTTTCTGATATGATTTTGCAAATAAAAAGAAATTAAAAACTAACCTTCGTGTCCTATTCTTGACAGTTGTGGGTCGAACCCAACACTCCTAACCTTGGCTGTGTCGCCCAGGAAAAAGTTGATCACCACATCCGCAACCACACATTCGGGAAAGCCTTCGACTTTGTGGTAAAATCCCTGGGTCTGGAACATGCAGTCTCCCAAGTCGTCGCCATCTTCGATTCTGATTTTATGTGTCCAGGAGTTCCCAACTCCTAATTCTTCGTAGACCACGCCACCAACCTAAAAAAATGAATGAAAAATAGAAAGGTAACATTTGCAAAGCAAAGGCATCATGTTTACCTTCACAAGCTATATCACAACTACTGCTCTGTTTCTTCTACATTCAATCATAAATGGTGGCCAGGCTCTACAACTATGTACTGCTACAAAATATAACCCAACACTACAGGGTGTCTGCTACAGCACCAGTTACCATGGTGACAGACGTCTGGTCTACAGGTCATTGACTTTATTTCTTTGGAGAAGAAGAGGAAAAAGAGCAAGTCCTGTGTATTTCAATCTGATCTGAGTATAGTTAGAAGAGGAACATTTTTCTTTGTCTGTAACTAAAGAGAAATTAGTAACACTGTCGATGATATCAATGTTAACAGTCGATAAACTTACAATATCCAAGTTTGTATTTTCGATGACCTGCAGTAGAAGGTCGATCCTGGTTTCCGGTGTGAAGATAAAGTCATCATCCACCCAGAGGAGGTAGGGCGTGGTCACCTGGGAGACAGCCAGGTTCCGCCCAGCGAACCAACCCTGGGAGAACATCAACATAATACGTTAACGGTTTTAATTCATCGCTTCCCCATTCCCACCATGCACAGCGCCAGAGGGTAAAAATTCCCAGATTGCAAAGCGCCAGTGGGTCGGAATTATGTGTTCCTGTGGTGTTTTTACATTGAATGTCGTTGATGTCAGCATCTAAAGTAATGAAGGTTGTTCCCTTGATATTTATATACTACAGCATCTTTTGCATTATTCCGAGCAATAGTTACATCTCATTTTTTCTCTATCACAACACATACATGTACAGTGGTAACGTTATGCCGTCTGACAATAGAAATTTTCATGACATGTGACAACCTTGGTAAGGTATACGTGGGAATATGGAGAGGAATGTTTTAGTACACTCCGTACTAAACAATAATGTATTAGGTAGGTCAGCCTTATAGAACTGTAGTAATGTTCCAATAAGATGCATGCTTTGTACATTGTATCTTGTACATTTGTCGTGCAATAAATAGAATGTAAATGTACAAGTAAGAGAGACGGCGTCAAGTTTGTTGTAATACCTTTTTAAACGGCATGGTGTAGTGTTCTATGTTCGGACCGTCGACCTTTTCTGGGTGTTCGCTGTCGTCTGCTATGATGACAGTGACGGTCGGATAGAACTGACGCACACTGTCAATCATCTGACGTAAAAGTTTGTATCGTAGGAACGTTTTTGTCACTACTGACACCTTAGACGCGATATCGTCTGAAAATAGAATAGTCCAATTTGTGAGAAAACGTTTAAACCAAGATTTGCAATTAATTATCCAATTCATAAATTATTAAGAGCTAAAAAAATGCGAAATTACTGCAACATTTCTGTTTGGTGATATTTTTTAGATTTAGTAAGTAGTGCGTAGTTTTATTCTTCATATAATTGTGCTAATGATGTACCAATAAAACATTTGCGCGATCATCGTTTAATTACATTGTATATCTACTCACCTTCAACGTAGTTAAATGCTTGAAGCATCGGTTTAAAATGAATCCGGATGGGGATAATCCCTACGAAGCCACCATATCTGTACTCAACTGTAAAAAAAAATGTTTGTTAAGATCAATACATAAGTATCCTTCGCAAGAAATTTCTTCATATTTCTTTTTTTTTTTTGCTTTTTCTTAATTAAACAATATCAAAAGTATAAGACACAGTGGTGCACAACTCTATAGCAAATTGCTAATTCTAGCCTCTTAACCGAAAAAAAAGAAGAATACAATCAATAACGAAACAGTAAATCGTTGTTCCAAAATACAGAGATGACATGTAAAAATGGATCATTCTTTGACATTGAATGTTTTTGATTTTGTGTTCACAAAATAGGTTTGAAGTCATGGTCAAAATATGCCTATTGGTTCCAGGGTGAGCCCGTAAGTACAAATACAAGCTTTTCTTGTTGAAATATCAATTATTTAGTGTTATTGACTTTTTACCATAGTCCACGGTGTCCGGATCGAAGTACGTGTTGGTATAGACAATAAACTGTAGCTGTCTGTTGAGGTGAGTCAGCTTCCCGGCAGAGATGGTCAGGTACGTGGTACCCGCGCCGTCCACTGCAACTCCGGGGACGTCCGCTAGGGTCGCTAGCACGCCTAGCCTGGCCACGAATTCCACCTGAGATGAAACAGATGTTAACGTTGGTGTGTTTAAGCCATGCTTGATAGGTAATATGGTACACTAGTGTGAGAAAGTCCTTTGTAAAACTAACTACAAAGCGATAGAATGTGTCGTGATGAAAATGAAGAAATACAATCGACAACTTGAACATGAAAATATTATGCTATTTTCACGAAAGTTTTAACTCTAAACATATTATGCTATTATTCAAGCACACAAGCAATGATACCCATTACCCAAACCCCTTGTAGTTGTACTTACAGCAAATGTTGCCCCCTCCTCCTTTGGCACATGTAGTTTTAATCCAGGGATGACGATATTTTCCCTCGGCCGGACGGTTAGCCCCTGTGTGGGGTAGCTGAGGGGAGATCTGCCGTCTACAAACAGGACTGGAGCCGGAGGCGCCGCCCTGGACAACAAAATTGGTCTTTTTAGCTCGAAAGCTCATCTGTGTTAGTAGAAGTCACTCTAAAACACATTTGAACTGTACTTGCCAACACAAAAAAAACCTACCGAGGAATCTAGTTGAGTCTGGCGGTGAAGAGCTGCTGCAGCCCCGAAGAGAACCACGATAGACTAGACAGGCTATACCTTTGTTTGAGTCTCTTCCTCTCCCTGAGTTTCCTGTCCACTACATCCCTCAGTTCGGTCTGGTCGAACACCGCGGCCAGGTAGGCTGAGGACGGAGGGTGGTAGATCGGGTGCAGAGGAACCTTGATCAGGGGGTTCTCTTCCGGACACGAACAGTTCTTATCTTTTATAACCGTTCTGTGGGACAAGAGATGCTTTTAACACATTACGGTTTCCAACTGAATATGTCGATTTTTCAGTCATGAGTATTAAAGGTCATGTTGATTTGATTATATGGATGACATCCACTGGAAACCTCAAAACTGATGCGAGCGTGCAAATAAAAAACGTTTGGCAAAAAAAAGCTGACCAAGTTTGTCTAAGTTTCAATATGTTTTTTGAAATCAAGATGACAAAAAAAAAGCTCTTATTTTACTCACTTTAAGAATTCCTGTTTCATTGTGTACGGTACATCTTGTAGGTCACTCCCCTCCCATGGGAACTTGGTATCGTCCATGTGTTTGACCTTGGTCCATGTTGCTGGGATGAACCTGAGATCGGCCGGATCCCGAATCGTCCTCGTGACGAAAAGGTTAAAGGTCATCCCGATGACGAAGACAGACAGGCAACCCCAAAAAGCGACCTTCCTCCATGCTCGGTTTTTATAGAGGATGACTGAAAATAAACAAAACAATCGCACACAAAAAATTAACAACTAGAAAGGTAACATTTGCAAGGCAAACGAATAATGTTTACCTTCTTGTGTTGAATCCTTACAAAATTCTGCTCTATTTACTCCTACTCAAACACATTCATGTATCTATGGTAGCGTATAACCCGTCCCTTGCTACATAATGTAATCCAACACCACAGGGTGCCTGCTACAACACCAGTTACCATGGTGACAAACATCTGGTCTAGGTATATTCATAACTAATAACATGCGTAATAACTAATAAAATGCGTGTTGGCAAGGCCAGTCACACTATAAATTTCCTTCCAATATAAGGTTAGGAATGTGTACATCTCAGTTTATTTTGGGTCTCAATTCGATTCTCCGTACCCTCAAGTTTAGCAACGACTGTCTCTTTCAGGAAATAATTCCGGAGTAATATAGCGTACGCTATGAGATGGCTAAGACTTTTCAGTTGTTAATGTCATTTCAAATGATTGTGAAAAATGTTTAACTCAAAAGTTAATCCTTGAAACCCGATCGTTACTTTTGTTACCATGTTGTCATGGAAAAATTGTTCTGTGCAGCGTTTAGAAAATAGGCTTTAGATGTTGTTGTCAAAATGCCGTCTTGCTAGTCCATAATGTTTGGGCAGAAAACAAGACTTCGACAACGTGTCATTTAAACATGTCGTTTTTCCTTCAGCCACCCAGGGTAGTATACTTAGTCTAGTAGTCTTCGTTATTTCTTCATACATGCCAGGTCGACCATTATGATTGTAAGTTGCTCGACCGGTTTGTTTTTCCGTGGTTTGTTAGCTAGCCAAACGTTTGTTTTGAAAGAGAGAGTAAAATGTACTGACCTGTGCCTGATGACATGTTTACACTGTTGCGTAGTTTCTGTAGAATAACAAACAAGACAATGTTGACAAGTGAGAATAAAAGCCTTACCAACAAGTCAGAATGAGGTGAATCAAACGTGTACGCAATAACAAAGTCGTCTGATAATTTCACGTATATAACAGACATACAATTTACAAACAAACAAACAAACAAACACAAAAAAAACGGTTACTCAAGCAAACTGGATATGATTTTGGAGACGGTCAGACGTTTCAGGTAGCAACCACTACCTTTCGTCTACTTTATATTGGTGAGATGTCAAGATCAACAGGTTTATAACGACGAAATATCAATTTTTAGTAGCCCAATAGGACAGCCTTACTACCAGACATAAAACTTAAAATATGCATACATGTCAACACATCATCACGGTACAGAAGGCTACATATGCCCTGTTTCATGGTAGGACAGACCAAACAAAAACTATATAGTAGTGACTACACGGCAGTACGTACGTGCACGATGGTAGTTGGCCCTAAGACAAGAGTACATAAAACGACTCTTCCTAGCTTCGACGCATACACCAAACTGAACGAATTGTCGGCGAATTGTCTCTGCCAAGCAAGTATACACCTCCACGCCATCAAGGCAACGAAGCGACAAGGATTCTACATTACAGATATGCCGTCTTAAGAAAGATAAGATAGCTACTACGTGTGAAGAAGATTCCATATGAACCATGTCTCCAGTGACACCATACCCACGTTTGCATATACCTGCCATGTGGTTCACTCACACAAGGACATGTCATAGGCTCACCTGTTAACCTAGTTTCCTTGCCCGGGCGCGAAGCTTCAAGGTGTCAAGATACAACTAGAGGAGTAGAGCTTACGACGAATTCAGTGGTTTTGAGCTAAAAAGAAAGCGGCCGTTTCATGTTTTCGGATCGGTGGCGTTTGTTGGCCTATAGAACGTACCGTCACGACAGGTGTCAACCTGTCAGTTAGCTAAACAAATGCATGAGTTGTCTTCTATAGTATGCAAATGGCGGCCCGGTCTTATAATTAGCTCTTTTGTGACCTATAAAACGAGGGAGGGGATTTGATTCTAGACACCTATATATGTAATGTGCATTCTTCATCATATTTTGATACCGTGTATTTTGATTTCGAGTGAGTTGGAGCGAGATTGGAGCTATTAAAGGGTTTTCGTATAGTCTCTACCAGGCTTAAGGAAGCGGCTGGAAAGAGAGTAGAAATTGACCAAATAGTATGCGCCCGATCCGCCTATTTACCGGAATACAGAGGAATACATCGAAACACATCGGAATACACACATTAAAAGGAGGCTGAAATCTACCGGAATACACACTGCATTGATGAGATAACACCCCAAGTTGCTGTATTTTGACATACGATAACTTATTCGTGGCCTGAGGAAGAAGAAATCAATAATGAAATGACAATCTGTGTATTCCGGTACTTTGATAGGCGGACCCGTATATGCCAGGAGAGTGGTCTAAGCAAGGAGCTTTTGTGATGAAAGCTCCTTGGTCTAAGAAAACAGTTTGTAGCTCGTGCATATTATCTGTCTATTTGGCCAATTTCTACTCTTTCCAGCCAATTCCGGAAGCCTAGTAGAGGCTACGGTTTTCGGACATGATATTAAATCTCCTTACATACTAGTATACATTCTTACACTTCTTTTACGCTACAGACGGTGGTGTCAAATTCGAACCCCCAAGAAAAAAAACGAACTTCGGTGTAAAAAGTGTACGTAACGTTGAAAGCGTATGTTTTTTTCTCTCCTTCTTACTGGCCATAGTATAAATGGACAATAACAACATGGGCAGACAACAAATGCAACCGTGTGCAAATAATGGGAATATCTTACCTTAAGTTAGATGCTCTGCGACAAACTCTCTCTCTCTCCATACGTTCTGGTTTTGTGCCGCTACAAACATTTCCTCAAAGGGAATCTAATTTAGTTGTAATAACGACTTAATCTGATTATAGCAGTCACGAGTACCAGCCCAATTGTTGAAAGCTCTTAGTGTAACCATGGAGGTAGAAATTGAATCTAGGCTGTTTTAAGCCCCTATTCGATTACATTATGTGCGTGTCAAACCTTATCCTGAAGTATGTACTAGTACTGGTTGTCCCAAAACCCCCGGCGAGAGCTTCAGAAGATGTTGACTTCATGGCTCCTATGGTACCATTTTGGGCCATAATAGGATGCCGAGAGGGGGTCTGCACTAATTACCTCCATGGAGGTAGCTCTATGGAGGTAATTAGTGCAGACCTGCGGCTGATTTTTTGTACCATGGAGGTCATTAGTGCAGGTCCTATTGAGGATGCCTAGGCCTGTTTTTATTTTTATTTTTTGCCCGCCTGCTCCAGCTTTTTCTAGAAAAATCCGTTAACCAAGAAATTAAATTGGTGTGGCCTAAAACATAAGTGTGTGAACAGGTTTTATACATCTGTCTTGATGTAGTGTAGAGTGCAGTGTAGTAAGTTTACTGTATACCCGTTTCATCAATAATCTTTATTCATCAATCCTATCATTTGATTATCACTTTTATATGATAAGGAAAGCTTATGTTAGCATCAAATTCACTTCATGTGCTGAAATAATTGAGAATTAACAAAAGTCTACCAATAACAGTTTTTGTGCTATACTAACTCAGATGCCATCATAATTTGAGAAGTGATGTGGTATTGGGTGGACATGGGTTAATATTACATCAGAAAGTCTACCTTCTTTCTGTCATGAGTCTTTAACTTCGTAATGTACAGTGATAAACAAGCTATGGTAGATATTATGATCATATCAGAATAAATGAATTGTGTTTTTAGTAATGAAGTGATAAACAAGCTATGGTAATTATGTATCATTTCAGAATCTCTACATGTATTGTCACAGTGTTGTAAATGTGTTCTTTTCTAACTGCAACAAAGACCTGTTTTCATGTTGTTAATGGTCCATGATTTCAGTTCTTTTCTTAAGTACAATTGTAACAAAGATTGTTTTGATTTGTCAGGAGCATTTATGAAATGTTGTTAATGGTCCATGGCATCTTCTGTATTTCTATCTTCATCTTCTTCATCATCATCATCAAATGTGAAATCTTCCTGCTCTTCCCCCATCTCCTCCTCCTCCTCCTCCTCCCCTGGACCGAGCTCAGATAAGAGTTCCTTGATGTGCTCTAGCATGTCCTCATCATCACAGCCAACTGTGGGGTAGATCTACCAGGGCAAAACGGACAGTGTTAGGACTCTCTACTCTCCAAGCAGAGTTCTAGGCCAAATTGGCTTATTTTTGGAGGCTAGACAAGAAACAGTCATGCCTTCAAATATCATAGTTATCAACCAAGGATTGAGGTGTTCAAAACCTGTATTTTCCAAGAACTATCATAAAGTGGAACTTGTTGGAACCAAGTACACACAGTTGGGCCATAATCACTAGAAAGCTTTAAACAACTCATGCAATTAAATGTGCAGGTTGACAGATTCAAGAACGGGTGCTGGCTACAGCCCTGATGCTGACCCAAAGTTAACATATCTAAAGATAGGCGGATGGAATGTGCAATATCACCCCTGAATTGTGTGGACAACCTTTTTTCATATGACTAGAAAACAGCTGCATTTATTCAGATCAGTCCATTATCCAGGATGAGTGATGTGTAGTGGATATCACACCTTGAGTGCATGCTGTAGGTTGTCCCTGGCCTGTGCCTTGTGGTCCTCCCCTTGTACGTAGTGGAGCCAGCCCAGAAGGTACCATACCTAGGTGGATGGAAAGTAATATCAGTCTAACAAGCTTTTTTTTTTTACTTTCTAAAATTCGCTATTCAACATATCTTCCAATAATATCTGATTCTAAAAAAAAATTTTCCAAGATAATTTTCTTTTCATACTTTCGATGTAGTAAGTAGAATCAATCCTATACCATAGCATACTCATATCTGTCATGCAAAAATGTCATATTGCTGACAGAAAATGCCTTTAAAAAAGTAAAAGATACTGACATCTAGGAATCAGTCTTACCTGTACAATTTCATCATCTTCCAGAAGTAGCCCTGCCAGGACTTTCTCAGCAGACTCCATGAGTTCCAGCTCAATCAGGATCTTAGCAGTTGCTATTCTCTGCTCATATGGTAAGAGAGGATCCTAGAATATACCACAACAACCATTATGTGTTTACATGTAGCTTAGTAACATCCAAAAATCAAGTTGGTGTTGTGTCTCAGTGATCTAGCCAGCCTGATTTTTTTCGATCATCTCAATTTTGTGACACTAAATCTGGACCCACTGAAATGCTGCTTCCTGCATTTTGAAGGGCATCTTTTGAGCGACAAATTTGGCTCATAGACTAGGTTTAGTGTTTAATAACATTTCTTTCACACTGATTTTTGTCCATCAAATAAGACAGATGTGGCAAAATTTTTGTCAGGAGTGGCAAAATTTGATCAAATGACAGAAAGATGGATGCTGACTAGAATACTGTTGACTCTTGTCTTACAATAATTCAGCACTTTGAAACACAGAAAATGATGTTTTTAGAAAATGTTCACACTATGCATTGTATGATAATCCCTAGACTTCCTGCAACATGTAGTGAGATCAAACTGCCTTTCATTTTACTACATCCACTCCATGTGCCTCATACCATACCTCAGGCACATTTTCCTCCATCTCCTCTTCATCTTCTGCATCACTCCTCTCCGGTAACCATAGTGACAGGCTCTTCTCTATGGCGAGTTTTGCCTCCTCCCTGTTGTCTTTACTGAGCTGGAAGCTGGCCATGAGGAGATGTGCCTCTGGGTTGGTGTCACATTCTTCTATCGCCTTCTCCAAGGACTCTTTACACTTTTCTTCTGCAGAGTCCTCAAAACTGAGACATGAACAAATTATCAGTCATGTACATGTCTATTGAAGAGTCTGATAAGATGATTGGTAGAATTCTATATCTGTATAGATTTGTAGAAGATTAATTTTGTGATAATAGTTTGTAGTATTGTCAGAGGATTTTATAAGAAAAAAAGGCATGTTTTGCAAAACATGATGCAAGAAATATGCCTTTGTGTCAGTTAAAAGCTTTAATTTATGTCATACCTGGATTGCGAGAATGTTGATATCGGCCTGTGTGATATCTACCAATATCACACAGGGTTCTAACGGTTATCACACGGGCTTCCATAGGTTCCATAGAATGATTTGAACATGTGTGCAAAGTACACCACATTTAAAAATTTGAATACATGTAGTTGGCCTGGTATCTGACGTGATATGGAATACCCTGTGTAGTATTCTATGATTATCTTTTGGTGGCAGTTTACAATACAGAAAAACAAAAGCCAGCATACCAAGAGTCAGTGAGGTAGATTTCTGCAATAGAACAGTAGGCACTGGAGATGTCCTGTGATGTAACGGTCTGGGAGTCAGGGTCACATGCAGCTGCGCCCTCTAGCTGCAAAGAACAGAATTACACAAGAAGACGATAGTTCAAGGAAAATGACGTAGTATGCTACGTTACATGTATATCATAAGTGTGCCATGTGTAGATGTAGCTTTATGGCCAAGCAAGTCAAATTCTTGACTGAGTAGAGAATTAGAACTGACCTGTTCCTGTTGTTTATGTCTCTGTGCCACCATGACCTGTATGCCCTTGTTATAACATGTCACTGCCTCCTCCCCCTCCAACAGCTGTCCCAGGCACATGTACTTGGTGAAGCCCTCGTCAGGACTCAGTTCTACCGCACGGCCAAAACAGTTCGCTGGTTAAGGAATTAGCTAATTTAATGATAGCACCTACATACTAAATTTTGCCCCTAGAAACTACACTTTCTGGGTTTAGAAGTTGAATGTTGTTTGTGTATGGCACCTCTGGCAAAACTGTGGCCATATGCATGGAGGCCAACACCACTGAAGCCGTAGCCTTATTTTTTCAGTTTTCAAAATTGCAGGTTGCTTAATTTTTTTTCTGCAAAACTGAAAATGTCTCTGCAAAATACAGACTGGAGGTGGGTATTTCTAACACTGGTTAAGGTGTTTTTGAACACCTCAATCCTTGGTTGATAACTCTGGTACATGAAGGCATGACTATTTCTTGGTCTTTTCTGAGCTTGTATCAGGTACATGTACTTAGTAGTTGGTACGTCCACCAGTTTATTAGTCTTTTTGTACATCATGCATAGTCTGTCCAGACATAATTAATGACATTTTTTGCCTGTCTTCCAGTGACCCCCACTGTAAGTACTAAAGTGCTGATTACTGACAACAAATCATTGGTTCACTGACAGAAAGGATATTTGTTTGGCCTTGTCTCCCTCCCCGAGCTCCAGTAGTAATGACCCTGACACCTCCAGTGCCCGCAGGTTGTCAGGCTCCAGCTCTAGTGCCCTCTGGCAGAACTTCTGTGCAACTGCATAGTTGTAGCTGTCCATGGACTCCTCTGCCTGTGGAAACATTGAAGCACAACTTAAGCAACAAATCAAAGATTTCAGACATCTGGCGAGCATACAGTTTTCTTGGCTTTCTGAATCCCCCTATACTGATTCCCAGACGGTTTGAAGACTTTTGACTTGTTGTTCTGCCTGTCAATTTTCTCACTCATGTGTTGTCAACTTACACTGACTGGACGACAGACAGACACATCAACCAATGCAGCTTACTCACCCAAAACAATATGTCTGTATCTATTTAAAGTAATATGATCATACACTCTGTCTAAATACCGCAAATATCCTTCTTGTAATAAGTTTTTACAAGATCTTTAAAGCCACTCAATTAAATGTAATTTTCCAAAATCTGTTAGAACAGTGTGTATAATGACCCGCACCTTGTCCAGTAATTCATCTACTGTAAACTTGGACTTGGTTTTCTGTGCAGCAGCTTTCGTCTTCTTTTCCTCCAGTCTTTGTCCCTTGTCTGCTTTGCTGAGACCTGGAGCATCTGGATGATATATATATGGCAGCCATCATTTACTAGTACATGTAACATTACTAGTATATCATTCTCTATCTAAAGAATTTGTATTCATGAAATCAGTTGAGAGTCTTAGCTTAGTCTCCACCAGACTCCTTGGCAGGCTGACTAAATAAAAGAATAGAATCTGACTTAAGTTAAAGGGTACAGTGTACATAATTGACCAGGGGAGTTGGCTGGTCATAGACGATGGTAATAGTAGGACGAAATATATTTTGGCCTGCCATTACATTACAATTAACCAATTTTAGGCCCGGATTTCGACTATTTATTCAGCCTACCATGAAGTCTGGTGGATACATAAGCTAAGGATCATAAATTTTATGAACTTATGATGTATAATCGAAAATTCATTGCGACGATAACAGTTAGTAGTTTATTATAATCAAAAACATACACATGGTACGCACAACGTTTTGTTCAAGTATGCCGTATTATGCCCCTTCGTTCAACGCATGAATTGACGAAACCTATACACAATAGCTTGTACTAAGTTGTAGAGACATTGTTCGTAACGATCTTACTTGTCTGGTCTGATTTCTTCCCATTTTGATTCTTTCCTGCCTTCTTTTTTCTCCCACGTGTGCCTCCCATCTCTAACCGGAAGTGAACTGAAGTGACCGAGGCAAAATGACCTTTGACATGTTACACGGCAGCAAAACGTGTAGGACATAAAAAAGAAAACACAAACACTTCTCTTTCTTTCCTAAAACCATAAAAAATGTATACATGACAAATTTTATTCATTACATATATTTAACAGTATAACGTTAAATTTCTCCGTAGTTGTATTCCTTTCAATGGGAATTTTAAGGGACATAAACAAGCAGTTGCATGCGTTCTTATGTCCGACCAGAGTTTCTTGTACGATTTTGTATCGATGGACACCCCCAGACGCAGGGCTTACAATTCTGGCAAGAAAAGTATGCCGGAAAATCTCGCTATATCAGTGAACAGAGGTTTCCAGTCGGTTTCCGACCCTTGGGTATTGTCTGTTGTCTCTCCAACTTGGGTTGAAACTGTTAGCCTTCAAAATATTGACCTGTCCTTGGTCCTGAACTGGTCATCAGATGTTATTTCACACTCCACACATATTTGGTCACAATTACACAACGGTCATCTCTTGTAGCATTTTTTGAAACATCTCTTTACTTCACCCTTCACAGTTGTGAAAACTTAAATAAAACGGGGCCTGCAGGCCGTTTTGAGCTCATAAATAAAAATGGTTCCAGCAAACAAACAAATAAACCAAAACAAAGGCTAGAGTCAGTGAAATTTTATTAGGGTTGGTCAGGAAATCAGAAACATTTTTTTCTAGGCCTTGAATTTGAGTTTATTTGGATCCACAATTAGCATACATATCATGGTTTGCATACATATCAATGTTGGAAACTATCATGTCTAAAATTTGACTCACATCATACTGGTAAACATGCCAAGTTATTTGCAATGTTGCAACTAAAGTTGGCTAAGCTGCACATTTTTATGACTTTTCTGCAAATACATTTTGAAAGTGAAAATATTGCTTCTCTCAAGTTAAGACTACATATCTTTAATTGAGGTTGTCAGTTGTTATAATACATAATCTGAACAATCCCTTTAGTACATGTATTTATGTATGCACATCATATGCATATTATGTGTATAAAAATCATTTGATCAAGGAAGCCTGGTACACCATAGATGACAGGAGCTTTTCATTTTCATCTTCTCTCAAACACACCTGAAATCATATAAAAAACACATAAATACAAGAATAAATGCTTTAAATACACACAATACTAGTAAATAAACAATACATACCTTGTATAGTCATTGATAAAAATTTAGATAAAGCTCAACTGCATCATCCTAAATCAATTTTTATGGTAATAGACAAATAATGAAAAACATATGTATAAGATGTGGAAACTTCTTCAAATGTGAGACCAGTAGTTGGCACACTATGGTTCTTACCATGACGGTGCCTACCACCCTCTGCAGTACTCCTGTCTGCTGCAAGGGGCGCTGCAGCTCTGGTGTTTGCATGAGCTTCAGTAACACCTTTGCTACAGCCTCTGTATTACACCTTTCTGTGCCTTCTACAAAACAAAAAAAAATATACTAGACTAAGTGTTGCAGGAGGAACTAAGGTCTAAGGTAAGGTAAGACTAAGTGTATAAGTCCTTAAGTGTATAACATCTTAGAGGCTGTCATATTTGTGCAGTTCCGACACAAAATTAGAAAATGCTAGGAAGTGCTTCAATATCACAGCAATATCTTTGCAGCAAATTTAGTATTTGAGGAATGCATGTACATGTATATGCACATTTGTCCATAAAGTCAAGTAGCCCATACCTTTAACAAATGCTTCGATATGCTCGAGCCATGACTGAACTACACCTTGGCTGCTGGCCATGGTCTGCAGCGCTGCATGCAGCAGCTCCCCCTGCCAGTTTTCCTCAGCAACTTCAGTCTCTCTATCAGAAACAGGTATCCTACTGTTAAGTCGAAGTGTAAGGTTTTAAAACTTTTTTAAGAACACATTATGCTTTTATAGTCTAAAATATTGTTCTCCATGTAGGGGACTGATTATGAATGATAATGGTACCTGAAAATTGATTTTAGACGGATATATTTTCATAAATGTGTATCAGTATCCAATAATCAGTATACTCACTTATGTATGGATAGGTCAAGGGCAGCCCAGCAGCAATGCATGATGGGAGTCATCAACTCCTTCCTGATCTCTGTCCCAGGGTGCAGGAGCATAACCATGGCAACCAGTACTGCATACAGCGTGTCCATGGGCAGAGTGTGGAACATTCCCTGCGCATGGTTTACAAAATCAGTCAGCACCATTTTACATTGCACACATGCTTTAAAAGCAATCGCACACTCAGGCCAATTCCATCATAATTTCTCACTTGTTATCACACACACAAAAATTGATTGGGCCACGTGCAGTCCCAAATAGTGCCAGTTACAGCCAAGTTGGACAAGTATTTGGTTTAGGCAAGTCCCTTAATGCTTACGTTATGGGGAAAAAAACGGGACTGAGAAAAAGCAGCTGTTATGAGCAGATGACCAAATAGACGCAACACGTTCCCAACACGTAACTCTTACCAAGTATCTCTCCAGCACTGCTCCCACCACCTTCCATACTTGATCAGGACTGGAAAACTGCAGCAGGCATTCACAGGTGAACTGGAGGAGAAAGAATACATCAACATCACTGATACATTTTCTGAGCCCTGTCTTCAGTCATGATACATGTACTTCAAAGAATGCAGGATAGATTTTCATACAGCTGCTCATAAGTTGCATAAGTTGACTATCAGTATCATATTCAAAATGAAGGAAATTTCTTTTATGATGATAAGCCAATGTGCATTATGACACCATAAATGCCTTTCTGCTTATGTGTAAGAAATGTTCCGGGCCCATAAAAACACACTCACTAACCTTGGCGAGAGCCTTCTGTCTATGCCTGAGTTCCAGACTAACACAGGAGATCTGTGTTCTACAGCCCGGAACCCAGACGTCTGGCCTTGATGTCTCTTGCTGTAAATCCTTCAGTTCCTCTACTGAATGACCTGAAACAAGGATTCATGACTGGATGTTAACTTACAAAATAACAATGACAAAAGACCAAACAAACCTATTAGTTTATACTACTGAACAACTGCATCAATAAAAGCAACATTTGAGGCAAATTTTCAGTACATGAGCCATACTCAGCCTCATTATCTAAATACAAAAGGCACATGGGACTATGTACATGTTTAAGGTGGCAAGGTGGTCTTGTGGTGTAGGATTGTTGACTCAGAATCTGAAGGTTCTGGGTTTGAATCCCTGGCAGGCCTCAGTACTAGTATTGTGCTATTGGGAAAGGCACTTCAATCTTGATACATCTCCATAAATAAACAAATGGTTTTTATATCAATTGGTATTCATGTTTTAGGTATGGATACTTTCAAACTGTTTTCCTCACCTATCATAAGAGACATAAGAAAACTGAGAATTCTGGGAGTGTCAACTGGTGGTGTCCCTTCTTCACAAACAGCCATAACAGGTGACCTGAGTAAAGAAACATGAAGTAAACATCACAGACTACTTTAGCCTTTTGACAATTCAAAAGAAGAAAATCTACTGATCAAATTGTATCAGCTGCTCCACTGTCAAATGCAACATGACAAGTTAATATGTTTGTTGCTTACAGTCAGCCATCTGAAATATAGTTGCAAGGGATGCTGTGATAGGTCTTTATTCCTCTTTGCAGTTGTGTAACAAACACAGGCTACCTACCTTGCCAGTAGAATCTGCACAAGGTACTCGACCACAGGAACTCCCACTTCCCTCTGTCTGCAGGCCTGGGACAGTGTGGACAGTTTGAGGCCCCCTAGCAGGGGCAGGTGGTACAGCAGCTGCACCAGGTGCCTCTGAAGAGGTGGTGAAAGAGAGCACAGGAGTCCACCTACACCTGTAATTAACAAAGGAAATATTTGTTTATGGCATCTCTTATTCCCGGGTATCACACAAAATTTGGTTGGGTGGTTAACACTTTGAGTCAAGAAATAGTCTACACAAATGTACACTTGGAAATCAAGGAAGAAAAGAATTCGAAGGAAGGAAGGAAAGAATGAAGGAAGGAAGGAAGAAAGGAAGGAAGGAAGGAAGGAAGAAAGGAAGGAAGGAAATATGCATGAAAGATTAACATATTACAACACATCATACCATAGATGTTTTGAAAGTTTGCCATCAAGTTTTCCACCATACAGGAGTGCCCCCTTGTGGCTGCAGACTGAACCACATGCAGGACCTCCTCAGTCTGTTGCTGATTGGCTGTATCCATGGTAACCAGATAATGTGGCAGGGACGCCACCCAATTGGTCAGGACCTCACTCCTGAAGGGAAAATGGTTGTAATGAATACATACATTTACTCAATAAATCATTTTAATCTGATATCATTACAACCTGGTTTCATTACAGCCATAAATTTTTTAAATCTAATTTCGCGGCAGCAAAAGTTTGCGGTCTGACTATGGAAGTGTTCACAGAACTATACAGTATGTTCAAGGTGGCAGCAGCTGCTGGAAAAAGAAAGTCGGCGAATTATTTCTTCAGTCCACAGTAATGATAACTTCATGATACAGAATACAGAAGTGACCATAAAAACTACTTAATAGAAAAGTACCACAAAAAAATTGTGATTTAGAGTAGATGAAACATTTGTTCTCACTTCTGTAGACCTGGATCTCTCTGTAGGTATGTCTGTGCCAGGAAGTGAACTATCTGTTGTCTGGTCCTGTCTGATATCTCTTCAGACTGGTAACAATTGTGTACTGCTGTTAACAAGTCCTCACAAAGGTCTGAAGAAAAATAAAGATATACAAGTTAATGAGGCATGTTCACTTGTGCTCAGTGCCTAAGAAAACTATAATGTATATAAAAAGACAGATATCAAAATATCTGAGTTCATGTAAGCCATGATATAAAAGTTTTGGACACAATTACATCATTCTGCAATTTTTCTCTCTTTCAAACACACACACAAAACCTTACTAGTAGGCTTTCACAAGAAAAAATGGTAATTGATACATTCTAAATTAGCAATATTTACTAAATGGTGGCAGTCAGTTACTCTTCTATGAACCAACTTCCATGCAGTTTATTTTTACTGCTCATTTATCTAACAATAAATAGCTACTTTACCATAAATATAATGTTTAATATATCTTCTTGATATCCCCATAATGCTTAGTTCACAATGGTATGGGATATGTGAGCTCAGCATAACCAAGTCATACTTCAACATTAATATATCAAACAATATAAACAATAAGAAGCCACCTTGTTTTGGAAGCACCTTGATGACATGTTGTATGACCCTAAGGACATTCTCCATGTGATCAGCTGAGTTGTCATCCACATCAGACAGACAGCTAACCAGGTAATCAAACACTGTGTCCAGCCACTCTGCTGCAGTACCATCACTGTCTGCTAGGACACATCAACAAGAGACAAGTAGTTAACCTTTAATGTTTGTTAACCTTTGCAGAATCAATCAAGGAATGAAAAAAGAAAACATATTGTTCTGGCTCCATTTTAGCTCCATTTCTTCTCCAAAGAAATAAGGCCAATGACCAGGACTGGATGGCTGTCACCATGGTAACTGGATCTGTACCCTGTGGTGTTGGGTTACATTAGGTAGCAAGTGGCAGGACAGAGTTGGAGGGGCTGGTAAATGTTAGATAGATATTTTGTTGTATGTCTCATTGTTAGAATTTATGTCTGTACATGTGTTTATCATATTGAAGAAAAGGCTAGTAAAAAAGAGAAGTAAAAAGTATGTATTACACTAAATGTAACTACTGATTTTTAAAAATACTCAAAACACAATATCAAGTGATACATAGCTAGTTTTGAAGGATTAAATCAATTCAATGAACATAATTCTGGTTGATTAAAATTGCATACCTTGTTCAAGGCTGCATGTCATGACATCACAGATGCTCAAGTTCATTATCAGGGATGCCTGTACATTGGTCCCTCCACTCTGATCCCTCTGCGGCCCCTTTCCTTTCTTGGACTGTTCCATGACCATATATGGAAAGCCAGACATCAGATGAAGGTGGATGTTCTTGTATTGGTGTAGGAATGACGTCTAGAAATTGAAAAAAATAGGTTATGTTTTTACATTTATATATATATTGCGTGTTTACGTACCCGACTTGTAACGGCTACCCCGAGGTATGGCACCCAGGCTACATCTGGAGTTGAACAGTCGAAAATTTAATTGAGAAAGTGCAATTTTTTTTCTGTTGGAAATTACAGCTCAAACATGTATCAAAGGCATCCCTATGAAACCTACCTTTGTCGGGTCTTGCTGTTTGTCTTGTTCTCTGTGTTGTAGACATTGCCAGAGTAACCCCAGCACATCTAACACCCCCTGTAACAGGTCACTGACGTCAGCACGTACCAGGGACTGCCCCTCACCCCCTGGGGAGCCTTCCACCCACGTCTCCAGTAACAGGGGGAGCAGGGACTCCGCAAACTCACGCAGACTGAACAGTGAGGCTGTGCTGGGGGTTTTACTCCTGTAAAAATTCAACAGTTACAATTGAATACAGGAAAGAAAAACAAGTGTCCAGTAACTCCATAAACAGTCCTGTAGACTGAACGATGAGGCTGTGCTGGGGGTCTTACTTCTGTAAAAATTCAACAGTTACAACTGATTCAATACAATTGCAAGTTCTTAGTCTGTAAATATTTAACAATTAAAATTAAATACTAAAGTACAGGACAGAAAAAAAGTCTCTAGTAACGGGGGCAAGAGAGATTCTGCAAACTCCTGAAGACTTTGCGAAGAGGCTGGGCTAGGTGTATTACTTCTGAAAAAATTCAACTGTTAAAATTGAATACAGTGTACCTCAATTCAGCATTATGCTGAGTTTTTTTTCATGATGAATAAACCATCACTAAACTATTTCTGGAAAATAATCTTTGTAGATTTTCTGATTGTTCATAAGCTGTTCTGTTCTTTGTGTACAACCTTCAGCTCTTTGTGTATTTTCAAATCTTCGTGGACTTTGTTGTTTTGAAAAACATAAATGAACCTACCCAATAAGGAATCCTGTAGAGCTGGACGATGTACTGTAAGGAAACACTTGCACATACAGAGGCCTGCTCCCATCAAATATCTCATCCACAAAACCTTTCTTCCCCACATCTCCAGTCTGCCTATCCCCAGTACTAACACTCTCTGATAACATGGCCTTCAGAAAGTGGTGAAGTCTGTTCAAAACTTTGCTTCTCCATTGTAGGGATGTTAGTTTACTGTTTGGGTTGACGGACAGTCTATGACTTGAAGACGTTGCATCTTTCTTTACTCCTTTGTCCTTCATACTCGAGATTTGTCCGACGAAGTTGGTCAGGATTTGTCCGCTTCTTGACGTCAAGAGAGAGGGGAAGTGTTCCAGGCACGCGTCAAGCACCGTGAGCGAATCGTGGCGGATGTCTTCAAAAATGTGCGTCATGGCGCAGCACAGGTGTGCGGTGATCAGAGGGAAGAAAGGAGAGATCTGATTGGTCGAGGCCTGGCTGAAGGTGTGGCATAACAAGCCAATGGCGGCTTTTCTGACGACGGGATCCTTGTCGACGAAGAGTTCAGAGCATTTCTCGAGGACCAGGGAGAGGTGGGCGGGAATGGCCGCGGGATGTCGGACTAGGAGGTCCTTGAGTCCGGTGACGGCTTCGTGGCGTACTGATGCGCTGTAGTGGTTACACTGGGTCAGGAGATCCTGAAACAAAACAGGTCCTTAGGTCTAAGATAGCCAAAATAGAAAAAAAATCCCTACCCATCAACCCTAGATTTCTCAGGACTGAAACTAGAAACACAACCTAAATTTTTCTCAAGGCCTTACAGCAAGAAAACGTATATATATAAAGGATCTGACGGTCCAAAAATGAAGAAAATTTACAATGAGAACCTAAATTAATGTCTGAATCACCAGATTCAAGTTCCTTTCTCATATATACAGTACTGTACTTTTAATCTCCAAGCAGATCCTAGTATAGGGTGGCAAAAGACAACAAATTGGTCAGGCAGTATCCATTGGCCAGAGAGGGCCCAATACACCAACCTGGCCAATTTACTAGTCTTTTGCCACCCTAGGATCTGCTTGGAGTTTATTTACCTTAACGTTCTGTTGTTTGAAGTTGGTCGGCTGGGAGGCGTCAGTCTTCAGCTGGTCCGGCAGGTGGATGGCCTTGGACTTGAAGCTGGTGTCCGTCACGTTGTCGGCCTTAGGCAGCTTCTTCCCCACCTTCAACTTGACCTTGTTGAAGTCCGCCCGCTTAGCTTTCCTCTTCTTAGCACTCTTGGGCATCTTGGGTCTTCTGAAAATGAGATCTTACTCTTTAATAGTGGCTCGAAAATTTTCAAGAGTAACATGTGCGAACGTGTGGGGAGGGGGGCAATCTAAACATCGAATTCAAAGCCAATTAAAGCGCTTGGTGTGTCTGAAAAAGCTACAAATAAACAGCCTTACCTTCAGTAGAATTTACTTTGTAAAGAAAGCAGAGGAAGAGTTCAGAAGATTGACTTTATCGGCTATTTTACGAAGCATGTCCGATTTCGTTTTTACTGTAGGCAGCCATTTTGGATGTCAAAGGTTACATGGACGAAACCACTGTTTGAAAAGAGCTGTAAATAAAATTATGTTATTACATCTGTAAAATACAATAATGCATTGATATGTGAGGTTTACGTTTTCTTCTTATCCTTTATCCGTGTTTTTTAAACACAGTGAGGAAGCTTGGCCTCTGCAAAATCTAAATCGCAGGACTTCCCTGCAAGATTTGCGATTTGGAAGTCCAAGATGGCCGCAACGACCAAAACAAAGCCGACGTGGAACTTTTCCGGAGAAAATTTCGGACGTTTTTCCTGTATTTGAGAGAACTGGGCCGGAGTTTCACAATTTTTCCATTCCAGTAATGTTTTTTAACAGGGAGAACCCGGTCTGAGAGTTTTATGAATGCAGATTCCGTTTATTTAGTGGATTTCTGTAGCTGAGTATTTATTTTTGAGGGTCCGCCCCCCTCCCACGACCATTTTAGATTTTAAGTTTTGAAGTAGTTGAGTTTCCGTGGACGACGATGTTTGAGGACCTTTCTCTCGTCTCTGTGATGTCTCTCCTGGCAACTGTCTGTACAGTCGGACAGTTTCTCACAGGATCGTAAGTATATAATAATTTTCAAATAATAATTATAAGGATATCTTAAATTATTTGACCAAGAAGGTTGAGAAATTCACGATTTGATTTAATGTTAGAAATAGCATTAACATTGTTAAATCCCAAAGCCAAAGGAAACTATGCTATTTTTGGTTTCGTTACAGTAAGACTAAGAGTCATAATTAATGGCCAAAATAAAATAAAGCAACGAATTATTAATATTATTTTGTTAATTTAATGTACATAGACCTACACAATCAAATATATTGGTTTGTAAGTTAACTGGAGTTATACAATTTGTTGTGTTGAAAATCACAATTTGAACTTGCTTGATATAATGATGATAAATAACTTTATCTATGTCTATCTTTTATCTAGGGTTATCACGTCAAAAATCACCCAGAAGGGCTCAACTACAGGAGTCACAGTGTACCCATTCCTGACTGCACTGGTCAAGTAAGAGTTAAACATGATTTGTCAATCACCTCAAGATCTAAAATAAAGTGTAACGTTTGTATCTCAAGCAAAAACAATGTGCGTGACTTTTCGATTACAGAAAACCAAATACACATACTTTTACAGGTTATTAACCGGTAAGGCATGATCCAATGCGATTTCGGGGTGGCAATACAAAAATATCTTAGACACCTGGAATTGTCATTATCATTTCAAACTTAAAAAGCATTTTAGATAACCCCAAAACAAGCTATGCATTGAGTCACATTATTTTTTGGTACCACCAATAAATATAGCTTCACAATGTCGACGATATGGTAACGGAACAAGCAACTGTTTTCCATCAGCATCATTGCATTTGCCTCACAGATATCAGTATGATAGTTTGATACTGTGATGTACTTTTTAAAAATGTCCAGAAAGTTGACTTTGGCTTTGGGTGGCTTTAAACTCTGGATTTATTGGATACATTTCAATCTGAGCGACCATGAGTATAAATATTCATATTTAGTAGGAAAGTAAATTTCGTTGTTTGTCAACTTCTTTTTTTACAGCTGTACTTTCTGGCTGAAATATGGGGTCTTGATTCAAGACAGAACACTTGTGGTGGTGAACTCCATAGGAGCACTCCTACAGACTAGCTACCTGGTGGTCTACTATGCCTACACTAAACAAAAGGTAGGACAAACCATTTATCAACAATAGAGTGCCTTCAGAAGTCTTTAATGTTGTTGATGCTACCATAGCTAGATGCTGTATGTCAGAAAAGTACATAAAGCGAAAGTTTGAACCAGTTTAGCTCACTGAAGAGCAGTAGTTGGCCAGGACAGAGAAGACAGATGCTATGTACAAGTACTTACAGGTTCATTGTACCTTGGAAATTTCTCTTGCTCTATATATTCTGACAAGTACAACAAACAATGAGCCACAGCTTAAAGTCTTGGGACTGATACCCTTTTCAGTGGCATGCACATCTCGTAAGCGACAACAACTGGGATTCGAACTCCCAACCTCTTAGTCCAGAGGTAGGGCTACTACTAATTTCAAGATTTTTTTCTTTTGTTGGCAGAACACCCTCCACAACCAGCTGTTAGGAGGGGCAGCGGTGTTGTTTCCTGTCCTGATTTATGTGAAGTTCTTCTCAGCAGACGACAGTGTGGCAGCCTTTCACCTGGGGCTTATAGCCTCGGGATGTGCAGTTCTCATGTACGGGGCTCCACTGGCTACCATGGTGAGACTTGGGCAGATGGATGGGCAGATTGATAGGCAGATGGGTAGGCAGATGCATAGGCAGATGGATAAGCAGATGGATAGGCAGATGAATAAGCAGATGGATAGGCAGATGGATAAGTGGATGGATGGGCAGATGGATACTGACAGATAGGCAGATAGATAGGCATATGCATAGGCAGATGGATAAGCTAGTGGATAGGCAGATGTATAGACGGATGGATAGATGGATGGATGGATGGATGGATGGATGGATGAAATGCATGCATGGATTTGTGGATGGATGAATGAATGAAAAATAATTACTTCTCTCTTATGATATAAAATGAAACCTTGTATTTCCCTTTAATCTGTAGATCAATAGTTCAACTTTAAGTGTAGTTGACCATATCATTGGTGTAGTTGATAATAACACATAGTGGAATTTCTGTGTCCGTCATCATAGGCTGAAGTTCTAAGGACCAAATGCACAGAGACCATGACTCCTGCCTTATCTGTGGCCAACTTTATAGTATCCTCGGAGTGGTACATCTATGGGAGGCTGGTGGGGGACTTATTCATACAGGTATGTGTTACACTGTCTTTTCTTCAAGGCCATCATCTCTGTTGTTAAGTTTTGTTGTTTCTATGTGTATCTCTCCATCCCAAATACTGGTGATACATGTATTCTACCAGTTGTGGGGTTAGAAAGAGAAAAATTATCCTTTGCACAGCACACTTTTTGGCAGAAAATCAATTTTGACAGCAGCACAACAGCATGCAGTCAGCATACAGCAGTAATCAGAATGAACAGCAGCATAACAGTGCTCATTCGCTCACCACACAACTTTTATTACTTGGACAGCAGCACAGAGTGCTGTCTCTAAACAACAATCACACAGTGCAGGTACAACACAACTGTTCTTACCTAAAGGACAGCAACACACACAGAGTGCTGCCTGTCCACAGCTGTCACAGAGCAGAACAGCAAGAGAATAGCTGTCTTTTTTCACATAACTGTTATCACTCAGCTTGGACTGCCACACAACTTTTTCTGTCATACAGTAACACAACAGCACTCATGTTCTGAACAGCTGGTAGTGAACAGCAACAAAACACAGCACAACAGCATAGGCAGCTCTCACTGGGAATGCACAAGAATGACAGCAACAATGTATGCATTGGACAGCACACAACAGCAATCTTGTTCAAGATCAACACACTGCACAATCACAGTAAACATACAAAAATTGAACAGGCTACACACCAACTTCTCACACAAATTCCTTGCAGCATTTTGTCCACCTTAAACCTTTCCCCTAAAACTCCCACAGTATATATTGAGATACTGTCTAAAATCAGGTTCATATTTTTGTTGATGGGTTTGAGTATTGTTATTTTGTTGTCTCTTGTTATACATATATGTGATTTTATTTATCATAAATGCGAGGACCACAGGAAAAAAACTGAACTGAAACTAACTGCAGATCGAAATAAAGTCACAGAGAGCGGTTCAAAAATCTAACCCTAACCAAAGCATGGGAAGAAGTACAGTTGACAAGCCAGGGTCCCCTGTCTTCTTTCCAGGTCCCCAGTCTCCTTGGCGCATTTCTGAGTTTCGCACAACTTCCCCTGTATTTCCTGTACCCACGGACGCTGCCTCGCATTGCACAACTGTGAAAAGCACAACCAGACAACCGCAACTATTTTTCTATTGAATGAGCCTTTATTTTTGTGGTGTTTCTTTATTTTTGCTCGCATTTTTCTACTAACACCTCTTATTTTTTGTTGCATTATGTTGAGTTTTTGAAACAATTTGGTTGATCAAAAGTTGTACTAATAGTATGTACTTTGCCATTTGCATTGGTGTAAGCCATCTAATAAGGAATGTTGCATTTTAAAAAGTACAGGGGATGTTTAGTAACATTTGCCTTTCCAAATCATTTCTTCCTCTTTTAAAATATTTTACATATCATTATCAATTGAACATTCCACATACTCATCTCAGAATTCACAAGACAGGGTTCCAAGTACTTTTTTCTGCATACCTGCACTGGTGCAAGCAACATTATTGAAAATTATCAACACTAGACATGTTTTACCTGAACCACTCAGACTTTGAGAAATATGGATCACACTAAAAACCGTTCAGAAACCATTGCCATTACTTTAGAATCTTTTATACCAGGTACTTCATACTTTACAAATAATTCTCAGAACATTCATTCATACATTCCCTGAAAACATGACAGTCTCATGTGCAATAGACTGATATGTACATGTAGTTTCATCATTGTGTACAAATTATATCTTTGCAATAATTCATCATTATAATATATTTTTCTTCAGACATTGCCAACAATTTAGTAATATATGTATTTTGCATCACTTTTTAAAGCAGATGATTATGTGTAGTTAGGGATAACTTTTTGTTTTTCTAGTTATCCAGGCTATATATATTTGTAGTTTTGTTAATTTAATATAAAAGGTATTTTTAGATAGGCAATTGTGTCCAAATGTTGGTGCTTTTGAACTTCTACAAATAATCATTCATGTGTAGATATACAAATTTAAAGTTGATGTAACGTAAAAGATACTTGCAATATTTTTCTGAAGCACTTATATACAGCAGAATGAAGCATATATATTTTTGGAATGGACTGTATTTATATTCAAGACCTTACAATTGAGCAACTCTCTCAAATACAAGTGTCTTTAGAATAATTCTCATGATATGAATACATGTACTCACTGGTATTACACAATGCCTCATACTGCTCGGTATCTTTGAAATTTTCTAGCTTTGTTTCAGGTTTTCGTGTGCAAGTGTAACAAGTATATGTCACATCTTTTTGTGTAGACTTTAAAATTTGTCTCTTAAGCATGTACTAGTACAAACAAATGTAATACAATCATTCGAGCCACTATAGGAGACATCCGGATTCTAATTAGCAAGGTAAAAAAATACTAGCAGAGTCTCTAATGTTTGCTTGTAACAAACTTTTCCTGTGACTGTTACCTCCTTTGCATGTTTGGTGTTGTTTCTCCAGGTTCCTAACTTACTTGGAGCGCTGCTGGGACTGATACAGCTCTCTCTGTTTGTGCTTTACCCACGGACTCCAAAAGCTGCGAATGTGAACCAGGCGTAGCAAGGTCCCAGCTTAAGCCCTGGTCACATTTCGTCAGACTTGTGAAGAGATTATGACAGAAGCAAACATCAGAAAGGAACTATGACGACATTTTCTGTTACAGAACATTCAAATTTTGTGCAACACATTCACAGCTGTCCCAAGATTGTCAGTTTGCTATGTAGCATGTTGGCAGAACATACTGCACCTGCACAAAAACCATTAATGATAATAGTGTATTGTTTATAGCACTTTAGCAGAAGTTTCATTCTATAGTTTTCAAATGTTGTGTCTGAAAAGACATTGTCTGCAACAGGCACAGGCGCAATATGTTCTGCTGATGTGCTTTATAAACCTATCAAAAGCAAATATGACCAAGCCCTTAGTTAACTGATTTAAGTATAAGATTTCTACTTCAAATGTATTATTTAAAGAGCATAGAAATGTGATAGAGAATAGAGAATGAAGTACAGCTTAAATAGTTAAAACTAATGTTACTTTCAAAAGATTTATCTGCAAAAGTTAAGTATGATCAATGTTATATATGTTATGATCCTTAAGTTCAGTGAAATGACTGTTCTTTGGTATACCATAGCTTGTTGTAAGGTTTTCACTCAAAAAAGCATAGGAAAAACTTACTAGTAGTATGTGATGTACCTTTTAACTTAAAAGTTGAAGGTGGCAGTCAGAAAGACATCAAAGAGTGAATCAATTATCTGAATGGCTGAGAAAGGTGGCTAATACAATAGAATGCAGTAAGAGTGAAGCAGAAAATATGTCCTTTTGATGGCATCAGTTTGTGTTTGGAAAACATTTAATGCCTTCTTAAGTTAGGTCTTAACTTCGCTGAATCTTAGATGATGTAGTGTTTAAGCTGTATTTATGTGGAATATCAAAATTCATGACATTTATTACTAATAAGTCAATGTGAATTTGTAAGAAAAAAAGTACATGTTATTTGTATGTGAACAGACCTGTATCATACACAAATATCAGCATTCTATACTATTATGAAATATGATGATGTGTCACTAAAGGTAGCAAAACTTTATTTTAGTTTTGGTATGAAACTAACTGTATTTTCTGCAAATTCATATAAGTATATACATCGTACCAGTACGTACCACTGCATTCTAGATTATAGTGCCAAAACCTGTTGTAGTATTATTAATTGTAAGAGTTGAAAAATGTCATAAGTTGTATCTTTTGCCAGTAATATAAATGTATCAGGCAATATGTGTATGTGAAACTTCTTGTTGGGTAATTAAGTGAAAGATTTGTTAAAACAGACAGAAATGATGAATGTGTTGTAACCGTTTATCATATATTCTATAGTCAAGTCAATAAAGATCAGAGGGCAAAGTGCACTTACATATCACCAAGAGGACTTGTGAGCCTGTCTTCTTCTTGTCTCTCGTTTTGTTTTACATGTAGATTAATAATATTCTTTTACTCGGAAAGTTGCATATAAGAACTTTCTTTACTATAAAGATAAATCAATTGTGAATTTAAGAACTAAACTATCTTTTGCTGTAAGCTATGTTGATAAGAAGAGCATGGAAGAGAGCTCGCCGAAGTAAAATTCCGTCTCGTAAACGGTCGTCACCTTTCCGAACGGTCGTCGCCTTTTCTCAAAACGGTCGTCGCCTTTCCGAACGGTCGTCGCCTTTTCTCAGAACGGTCGTCGCCTTTCCATAGAACGGTCGTCGCCTTTTCTCAGAACGGTCGTCGTGACCGTTCTGAGAAAAGGCGACGACCGTTCGGAAAGGCGACGACCGTTTACGAGACAGAAATTTGCCTCGCCGAATCCTCGATGCGACTGAATACCAGGCTACATCACAAAGGTGAAGTGCATGGATCAAAAGCGACCTCTAGCAGTTGAATGGAGGACTACACCAGCTAAGCTGCTCCTATTACTGCAGTGATATTTTTCGCCGTTACGGGGCGCTTTTATCTATGATGGTTTAGATAAGACATACTAGTAATCTAGCTAGCTCAAGACAAGGACTAATGCCCTTGCTCAAGATAAGAATCATTCTTGAGAATGTTTCGTTCAAACTCAAAGTAGGAGTACTATGACAGCAAATTGCGATGAAGGACTTTGTGAGGTAAACCTGGGCATAATTTTGTCGATTTATTGTTTAAGCAGGTGGTAAGATCACGGCGAAGCTTAATCTAATTTGTTGATTAATTAAGAACAATGCAAATTTTGGTGCTTCATCAACATGTGGTAAGACCACGCCACTGCAAGATGGCGAGTCTGTTTGGAAGGGGAAGAACTCGGCGATTGAAATTCGGCTTGGAAGACGCTACGTCCGTTTTTGGGTGGTGAGTTATGCTTAACATTGTCCCTTATATTCTCGTGACTGTTTCGCCCGGCCGTATTGCTATAAAATGAAGTAAAAACAGAGAATGGCATGAATTATTTGCGGCGACGGCTTCCCTAAGTTTAAGCCTGCATTTATTGCAACAGCCGTTGTGGGGCGCTAATTTGAACACAGGTTTAGTATTGTAGTCTGTAAATGAATCACTAGGCGGCGCTTTTAGACCGTGCGCAGAGTCAGCATTGACTCTATGTTGAGGCCGCACAACACAGTATTTATGGGCGAACCCCGTCAAAAGTAGTCCGGGCACAAAGTAGTGATGCACAATACTAGAGAAAGGTGCAGAGACTGTTCTGTGCATGGCATTGAGATGGAACCTGTGGTGAATGTTAGAAGAATACGTCAGTTTTGAGACCATAAAAGTGGAATTATGGAGCGTATTCAGTCGGCGTAAATTTGCGCTTGGATACTTGTACCGCCTAGTACTGTGCGTCGGCTGCACACGGCCGCAATGAGGGCGTGAGAACAGAACTACCCGGCAAATTTAAGCTCATTTTCACATATTTTGTACACCATACCCTGAAATTATACATATCAAAATTCTAAACCTTGCATGTGCACCCTACTATAATTTTTAGTGAGTTGAAGTGAGTCCGACTTTGGGGTCCTTAAGTATAGAAATCCCCATAGGGCGAAAACTGTGTTCTGCCGCCTTGACTCTATGTTGAGTTCAACAGCAGCATTTCGTCGCAGTTTCTTTGGTCAAATTCTTGGTGATTTGAATGAAGAAATTTGACGTTCCAAGGCAGGCAACGGGCTACAGGGACAGCGCAACACATGGGCGTGGTGAAGGTAATATAATTATGGATGGGTAGAAATATTAAAAGGCAAACGATTTTTTTTATCTTGATGTGTTGTATATACGAATGGGGGAGGGGGGCATTACTTATCTACATCATTGGTGTGGCCTGAGAATTGTTTGCGGCAAGGACGTTCAAGAAAACTGATTGGTTCATAGCTGGTATTATAGTACAGTAATTTGTTGATCATGAGCGTCAAATTGTATGGAAACTTACTCATGATCATGTTTGTCTCTAAATGCCTTTTCATTGATTGAGCATGCTTTTTTTACTATTTATTCATTGCATCAAGTGTACTATTCATTGCGTCTACTGTACTATTTATTGCATCAAGTGTATGACATAATGTTGTATGAATGTTCTGAAATTTGAAGCGCCACTGGGCATAATTAATGTTAACCGTTACAGATATTCAAGAGCTGCTCAAAGTTTTCCAACTCTATCCTCAAGTTCAACAATGTATTAACATGTTGCTTACACCCTTAACTGTTTTATCTGAGAAGGGCATACATGATTGTATACCTTCTTTTCACAATTACGAATGTATGTTCTGCTGAATAAGGTGTCTCATGCCTGCTTCAGATACTGCATTAGATCTGATGTTTCTGTTCACTGGCAATTGCAATGTTCTGTCAACATGTGTTAACTTGTCATATGGACCAGGTTTTTATATAATATTTTATGTGAGACATATTTGATGTGATTTTGCTATATATGTTTACTTTTGAAGTTGCTTGTTAACCATAATTTTGCTGTGCTCTTCTTTTGCTTCATAACAAAGCATATTGTTCTTGTCCCCAACTCAAAGCAGGTTTTAGAACTTAACAAATGTTGTGAAGTTTACAATGTATAAAATACCTTGTTTCATGTCTGAGGTTCATTTTCTGTACAATATTGTTGAATCAGATGTAAATGTACATTTTTGTGATTTTCCCCTCTGCTCTTGCTCTCAACTCAAAGCTAGTTTTTATATTTAATTAAGTTAACTAATGTTGTGAATATTACAATGTGTCATGTACATGTATATTTCATGTGTATGCTTTGTCACTATTGTTAATGTATGTAAATTTGGCCAGTGATTTTATGTGCCACTATAGGTTTTAGAATTATTCATGTTGTGAATATTACAATGTATGATGTATCTTGCTCCATGCATGAGTTTCATGTTCTGTCAAATTGAATATTGTTGATGTATGTAACTTTGGCCTGTGATTTTATTTGCCACTAACAAAGCATATGCTCTCCCCAACTCAAAGCAGGTTTTAAACTTTAAGAAATGTTGTGTGAAGTTTGTTGATGTATGTATTGATCTGGCCCGTGATTTTTCTGAATGTGTATTTCTTTTACACCCTAGGTTTGGGAAGCTGAATTACTGTATACCTGACCATGTGGGACCTGTCCATGTTCCTGTGTGCTACAAGACCTGTCAGCTATCCTGTATACCTGTCCATTGATTCCAGGAGGATCTGTCTGTGTTTCTGAGGGACCTGTCACTTATTTACGAGACAAGAGAACATCGGACTTGACTGTGAGTTTGCTTTTATTCATAGAACTCTTTCAAAAATGATCGAGGGTCTGCATGGCGCAGTGCGTAATCGCTCATTTTAGTTTTGCGTAATGCGAAGCTGGGTCATTCTGACTAACGTTAAATATAATCTGTGCGTTCGGTGTAAAACGTGAAGCCAGTGAAGCGTAGAACGGGGCCCATAATGCTTCGGAGAATTTTTAATGCCGTGCCTTGCCATATGAATTTTGCATAATTTGAAGTCGAACAACTCTGATTTTAATTTTTATCTGACAATCTACACATCAAGCATCCAGCCTGCACGAATGAAAAGTGTTGAATTTCGTGGGTGCTTCAGTCTGGAATTTACATAATACGTTGTAGTTCAAAGTGTGATCGGGACTTCCCATGCAGACCTGTAAAAATGACAATAAAAGAGGTTATTAGAAAAGTGCATTTTTGCGAAAAATTTTTCTTCAAAACACCATATGGTTGCTGGAACTAAGCCCTTTCTGCTATGATTTATTGTCATTTTTGAAAGAGTTCACATTTCTTACGCTAACATCTAGTATAAGGCTGTGACTAACATTTTATTACAGAATTTATGACGGAACATACAAAGTACGTTTTCCTATTGAGGAAAGCACTTGTGATATTGTCTGTTGTTTCATTCTGTATAGCAATGGGAATTTGTTTTTTCTGAAGCATTCATATGATCAAACTGTTAAAAAGATTCCCTGATATCGTCTTTATCACGATCCACAATCACCATTTGTGAAAACCAATTCAGAAATGAAAATTCAACTGTCGTTTGCACTCGTCTAGGTTTAAAACCTTACCAAAAATTTGACAAAACAACTGGATTCATGCATTATGAAAACATGTCCAGTATTTATATATGATACTACCCCATTTATAGTGCAGAAAGCTCCTTGAATTTTGGAATCTCTAGAACATAATAGCAATGTAGACAAAATGATGTTGTCTTTATTTGCAACGCAAAGGTTTGTCAATTACAAACTTGCAATTGCAAAAAGTACACATATTTGGCCCAAATTTACCTAAAAAATTGCGGTTGTTAAACATCATCAGAAAGATAGGTGAAAGACAATCAAGGTGATAATTCATGAAAACACAAGGTATTAATAAGCATTCTACAAAGTTTCTTTTCTAAACAATTGAACAATTTGAACATAAGAGTTAATCCACAATTTATTATATTTATTAAATCCTCAAATCTTGTCTGTGATGAAGTGGATTTCAGGGAAAATACTTTGATGATTTCTGAAAATATGTCCCATTGCTTTACAGAATATGGAAAAGACAATGTTGTGCTTTCTTTCTGTAGAGTGAAATGTACTACAGGTAAGCTGTGTGTGATGTTTGAAAGGGAGGAATTGTGTTAAGGAATCAGCAAAACAAATATAGCTCTAATTTTGCAAAAATTGTAAACAAGTTAAAATATGTCACAGATTGTTTTAATAGGTAGTATAAACTAAACAGTACTACCATAAAAGTAGATAGATTCCTTAGGTAGTATATTAAATAGGATTATTATTAATATAAGATGCTTTAAAAAAACAGTCGTGGTGAGAGATTGACCCTTAAAAATCTACTTGCAGTTATTTATAGTTCAAGGTAAATTTAGGTAGTGTTGAACAGGTGACTGCTATAGACACAATTCTTAATG